TTTTATTGTAAACTTAAATGATTTGGAAATTATATGTTTAAATGAGAAAAGTTTAATTATTTAGTTTACATTGTGAAAATATTTTTTTATAGTTATCATTTTTTTTAAGCTAACCATTACAAAAATAATTGGTAAAATATTTTATTCTACTTTTTTAAAAAAATGTACATTTACATAACACAAAATTTATTATAAAAATAAAACAATTATGTGAAAGTAATTTATATACCATAAGATTTAAATATAAGAGAACTACAAGTGAAAATTTAAAATATTTTTTTAATTCAGTGTAAATCAGTTGAGTATCTAACTATCATAGGCATACTTATTTTTTAATCCTAATTCCTATATAATTATTTATAAATATTATGTCAAGTATACTTAGAAATTAATTTTAATGTTTAATTTACTCTTCCATATATATATTACTTAATTATTTCACTTATCAAACTTAGATTTTTTTTTTTTTTTGTTATTTGCATTTAATTATATTTGACAGATGCCACCTCAGGATAAGAAAAGCTGCTCCTTAGCATTGATTAAATGTTAAAATTATATTATTATTAAGTTCTATATACATTGCCAATAAATTTTTTTTTAGAACATCACCATAAGCGTTGACTTGTATTGCAAGTGGTGCAACAATTTTGAGCCGTACCTTTAAAAAAAAAAGTAGGTACATTTAATAAATTATTTAAAAAAACAGTTTTAATTTTTTATTTAGTATTGGAGCCCAATGAATGTTTTCCTTAAATCTCATATATTTTTCTCAGATAGTTTAATTATTTATAATTTTTTCTTATGTAGTCTGTCATAAAAGTTTTTGCACAAAAATTAGAATATTTTGTTTTAATTTTTCTATTACAAAGCATGAATTATCTTTGTACCAAATATTTTAGAATAAATTACATTTCATTTGAGCTACATTAGTGAAATATAGCCCCTTTCTCTCGGACTTAAATTATAGAATCCCATTTATAACATTTTGAGGGCACCCAGTCAAACCTATGATTATCACACATTTATTGATATCATAAGCAGACTAAGATAAAATATGATACATATTTATAATACACATATATAAATGCGAAATTAGTTACGATTCATTTCATGGTAAAATTAAAGGTAATCTGGGGTAAGACAACTAAAAGATTTTATAATTTTTAGAACTTTTCTACACTACTTAAAAAAATGTATTAAAGCTTGTACGATATAATATAAATATATTTATTATAAGTATATATCATCATATTGCCAGTATAAAATCTCATCATATTTTCTAATTTTAAGATCAAGTTAGTTAAAATGAATAACTAAGGTTTCAAGAAATATCCTTTAGTTTGTAATTATGGTTTCATATCTATGTTGACATTTTTTTTTACCTATCTTCTTAAATTGAAGTAACTTGAGCAGTGGTTTTCAACCTTTTTAATAATGTGACACACTTCATCTCCAACAAATTGATCGCTGCACACCTACTTTATTAGAGGTGAATACTCTATTATTGTGAAATATAGTAATACAATCGATTAATTGAGACAGCTGCAACGGGCATACTTTCAATAAATAATATTATACTCGTATGTATCTTCAATAAGTTTGATCAGTTTTTATCAAATATTGATAATAAGCTGGTAAATACATACTTATAAAATAATTTATAGATTTATCGCGGCACACCAGTTGGAAATCACTGAACTAGTCACTTATTTAATTTAAACTAAAAAAAAAATGAACACATTATTTTCCATAAAAAAAAAATTATATTTCTTCCTTGAGTTACAATGGCTATGATCATAGATAATTAATAATGTAAGTGTAACATTTTTTGTGTAATTAATGTTTCATAAGTTTTAAATGAATCAATAAATTATCAAGAATACATAAATAAAAAATTAAACTTAATTTTACATTGGATTTAACTTGAAGTACATTATTTCAGTTCAAGCTGTATACTGTCCCAAAAACGTGTTGCACCTTGGACATTTGTGGTTGACAACATTGCACGAGTCCATGCAGCACGGTATTAGACAGCATCCACAAAAACATCTAAACATATATATTTTTTGCAGATTAATGTTAGTAATTTCTTATTACATTTATTCAGATATCAATTATATATATAATTATTATAAAAATAATTGATAGCATAAAAAATAAATGTAAAATCGAAATTCTATGTAACACTCACCCACAAATACACATTAGTATACAACTCCACCAAGCACTAGCTTTAGCTTTTCTGGAAGTAGAAGAATAAACATGATGTCCACATGAAGTACATACAACTTGTGTACTAGTAGGACCCATCGGTTGTGGTGTTGCTGGAATCCCTAAAAAATTGCAAAGAAAATATAATCCTTAAAATACATACATAAATATTATAATAATATAAATATTATATCTAAGAATTACAAAAATTGAAATTGTAAGAAAAATTGTTTGAAATTTCAGAAAAATGTGTTTATTCACTTTATTATTGTATTCAGAAGGAAAGTACATTAGATATTATAGATGGCCATGATATCCCATTTTTACTAAGAATATACAGTCCTCTTCTTTTTATATAAATTAAACGAACTTAAAAATTCGTAAATAATTAATAGTGCAAATTTTTTCGATTCGACGCTTTTTTTCTATTTAATTTTCGAGCATTTTCCACCTACTGTCGATTATTATTGTAAATGCAGTCATCAATAGAACACATATTCATTTACAAGTCAGCTGTTCAAGACATTTTTTGACATTTATTAATTTCCTATCCTGATATTTTTGGTCATGGATCCAACGTTTATTTTTTTTTTTTTTATGAACTTTATATCTAATATAAATAATTTTTAATCCTTCCCTTAGACAATTCCTCTCCTATACCAAGGATTTTAAAAGGAAGCACTATAAATGTTCTATTGCAGTACTATTTGATTGAAGTGTTATGTTTTTGTTGTGTTTTGTTTGTTTAGTCGTTGAAACTATTATCTAATCTAAAGGTATTCATGTATGAATAGCTCAGTTATTTCCCAGATAAGACAAAAATATATATATATATATAAACTAAAATTATGAAACTATTATTCAATTTTCATTTATTATACTCTAAAGCAGCCTTCACACGATCAATATTGCTGACAGTAATTTAGAACGTGTTATGTGAGTCTTGATATAAAAATATGGAAAATTAAATACAATTAATTTAATTGAAAATTGCTTGAAACGAATTTATAATTTACCTAAATTAATTTAACATGTCACAGTAAAAATATTTTTATATATAAATCCGAGCCCTTTTCAAAGCCATAATTTAAGATCCTGCTCAAAATGAAAATTTTTTACCCATGTGTCATGTTGAAAAACGATTTTAAGTATCTCATAATAAAAAACTTCATCTCAAAAAAGATTTGTTATTATCGCACTCAAACAAAATGCCCTTCCCAGCTTTCAATTCATTTTCCGAGCCGAACATGCAACTTCACCAACTCCACCATGTAGTAGATCACATTGCTATATCTCTAGAAACAAAAAAAAAAATATTGCTCAGGGCTTTTTCTCAGCGTAGCTCAAGCCTTTCACACTGTCTGGCACGACGATTTATTACTCAAACTTAAAAAAATCTTCTCGACACCTTAATATTTACTTTTAAAATCACACCTAAATAACAGAACAAGTCAAATTAAAAATCACACTTTTCAGCATACAAAATATTCTACCCGGTGTTCCTCGGGGAAGCGACATCGCTCCTTTCCTATACACATTGTTTACAGCTGATATTCTTACAGCGGATAACACTCTGATAGGGATATATACCGACGACACCGCAATCCTTTCATCCAGTCAAGACTCCCACGAAACAAGCGATCTTCTTCAAAACTATTTGAACAGCTTATACCACAGGTTCGAATCATGGAAAATGAAGATTAACGACTCCAAATCTTCTCATGTCACTTTCTCCCTCCACCCAGTGACTGTTCTCGTGTAAAATTTGAGAATGCAATCATTCCTCACACAAATGAAATCAAATATCTCGTCTACTGTTTGATAGAAGGCACACCTAGGGCTCCCACCTCAAAACCAATCGTAAACTAAACAGCCGCCTACACATCCTTAGGTCTCTCATGAAATCTAATATGTACATCTTCAACCGTCTACTACTCAACAAATCTTATTGTTACTTATCTTACTGCAACCTATCTGGTCATACGGAATCGTTCTTTGGAGTACTGCTAAACCATCGAACACAAGAACCATACAAGCTTTCCAAGCCATCTGTCTCCGCTTGATTGCTAAAGCTCCTTGGTACGTCACAAATATTGCTCTACATAAAGACCTCCAAATCTTCACCATTAAACAGTCATCAAATATCTTCGCCTGAATTCCAATATGGAACATCACTCAAATACCCTCTCATCGCTCAACTTTATACCAATGCTCTTCCGGATCACCCGCCTCAAACGTGAATGGCCCAGAGATATTCTCAACGCACATCTATTTTAATATGTTTATTACTATCTCTCTCTAAATTACCTTCCGCGTAGACATTTCTAATGTGAAAATTTTATTCATTGCCTACTGCTCACAGCCTCTTTTTAATTATTTCATTCACATTTACTTATTGTAACATTTATTATATAGATTGTAAATTTTCATAAATAAACGACATTTATATATATATATATATAAAAGTATCTTAATCATTATCTCAAGATGATGTTGACCTAGCCCAATCATTAGCTACGTCTACATCTAAAAAGGATAACGTAAATTCTGATGTTAATACATATCAACTAGATATAAGTATTTCACTTAATGAGACCATATAGTGACAATATAGTGGGGCAACAAATTTTATATTTAGTCTATATGTCAACAAAAAATATAATCACGACCCATATGGTTGCTCATTTAAAGACATAGTTTGTGTGAATGAAAAAAAAAATTTGCTCAAAACCATCGTTTACATTTAAGTGTTTCTGTAAATCATAGGAATTTGGAAATATATCATGGAAATCATGGAAATATCATTTGGAATAAAAAATAAATATTTTTCTATCTGTATTCGTTCTGGTTTTGGTTAAAAAGAAGTTAAATAACATTGCTGTACTAAAAATTGGTCAGATAAAAATGGATCAGGTATGGAAGCAGCTATAATAATTGAAGGTTTTAAATAAAGTGAACCTAAATAAAATTATTACTCTTTTTATATTTATTGTAAATTAAAATGTTTCAGCACGCCGAGTGCTATTATAAGTTTGATTCTTATTATTAAATTATAATTATATAATTATGTCTACATGTTTATTTGTTATTTTTATAATACATATTAATAACATTTGTAGTATTTATATTTGATTTTATAATTGACATTGATAATGGATGTAATTAGGTCATTCTTAAATTAAATACTGCTGTTAGCTTGACTGCTGACAGAAGAGAGACAAAGGACTAATTAGTGATTTTAAATTAGATATAAAACTTGAAAGAATATCGACAATTTTGTGTATGAGTTTTGTGTAATTTCCAAATATTTTAATAAGTTTATAAGTGTTTAGCACATTCCTTCCAATACGTTTCGAAAGGACCAAGAGATGAAGTTTGTTTAACACGTACTCTCCTTGGCTCATTTTCGACACGTCCAGAGACGTATACTATACGTATACGCCCATACTTAAACTATCAATACTGGTCGTAGAATATCTTAGATTAAGACATAATGTAACTTTTTAACTAGACAGTTGGTATTATGTGTTCCACTGTCATTTTATGTCTCAGTAAATAAAGTATTTTCGTAATACATTTCTTTAAAGTTTATATTTAATTTTCATCTTTATTTCTTAAAACACGTATACATTTATTTTGAACACGAGCAACGAAAAAAGTGGGACTCGTAAAACTCGTTTTGAGTTTCGAGATCGGCTCATTACATAATTAAGTTAAAAAGTTTAAAAAAACTAACTTTAATTAGTTAATGCCCATCTTTGAAAATTTCTTGTTAGAAGAAATAGTGAACACTAAGATACTAAGCTATAAGTAGTTTATTAACTATTTACTGACAATTATCAGAAAGTTTATATATAATTTGAATTATTTATATTATCACTATTAATGCATGCATTTTTTTTATTTATAAATCATGAGTAATAAAATGTAATTTATTAATTAAACAAAATTAATTTTTTTTCAATAATTCCCATACATGTCGCGAGTACGAGCACGATGAACGTAAGACGTGCATCTTGTCGTACAATGAAAATAAAATATTAAATTATTATTTATCTTTATTGTACACATTTTGGTTATCTAAACGCGGAATACGAGTGCAGTCGTTGCCAGATAAATTGAGACGGCGGCGGTAGTGGCGCTTTTCATGTGTGTAATCCTAAGAGCCCGTTCACACGATTCGATATTTTTACCGTATCGGCTATTTTCTTGATTTTATTTGATTTATTTGATTATTATATATATACATATTATATTATTTGATTTTATTTTCTTGATTCGGTATCTTTCGGTTAGTGTTCAGACGGTATGGTAATTTAACCGTACACCGTACTCGAGTTTCAGTTGCATTTATATCGTATTCGCATTAAGACGCGAGAAGATGAACTTAAATACATTTATATTAATATACTGGTATCGTAAGTATCGTCAACCGCAACGGATTTCAAATCGAAGATTCTGGGTACATCCTATTGTGAGACGAAAAAATATTTTGGGCTCTTTTAATACGCTAATGTGTCAATTACGACAGGACAAAACAAAATTCTTTAATTATTTTCGAATGTCGATACCAAATTATTCGACAGTAGCACAGACAAAAAATGACACACTATCGGTCAAAATATCGATTCACCTGAACGCAGTGTCTATAAATACATTGCCACGATAAACCGAATCGGTTTTTTTACCGTACGACCGAAAACGATTTGCAGAGACAAAACCGAATGACAAAATCGACCTAATCGGTAATTTTACCGAATATAGTACAATGCCATGTCGTCTGAATATATGCATTTAAATTATATTGACACTGGCTTATACGGTAAGATCAACGATACGGCAAAACCGCCGATTCGGGATCGTGTGAACGGACTTTAACTAGTTGCTGGTAGTGTGGTGCAGTCATATAGTTGGCTACGACGCGCGCAACACCGGTTTGAACCCGGTGTGTTTCGACCGCGCGGCGCACTTCAATCGCATCAACAATTTGTTTATTATAAATGTATAAAAATAAATAACTCGGCTGACCAATGACAATATTAATAGATATGGGCATTATGGAATATACTAATATAGATAGATAGGATATTAACTCATTAACGCCAGTATTGTGTTCGTGTCTTTTGTACTGAAAACGTACGCTATAAAATAGTTTTTTTTATAATGAATTAAAAAATGAAAAATCGTATAGCTCACAGTCAAGCTAGGGAAATAATTTGAATAATTTTTGTAACTATTGTTGATTTATTGATGTATTTTTATAATAATATTGAAATACGGATAACCATTGGTTTTTCGTTATCGCGCCGCCGCCGTCTTAATTTATCTGGCAACGACGTACCTCTGGTAGCAATGTATACTTATGATGATATGTGAACAAAGGAGTGGGAGGAGTCTATGAACGCGTATGCCACATGTCACATTCAACCTAATAACTAGAGCTCGGATGTAATGACAAAAATTTCATAAAAATATGCATTATAAAATGTCAAAAAAATGCAATTATATGCCATAAAATGTATTAAATCTATCTATTTTTTCAACAAATATATACAAAAAAAAAAAAAAAAATTGTTAATATTAATTCAAAAAACGTATATACTCTTTTGAATGCGTATTTAAAACTACTTTATTACAAAAAACACAGCTAATACGAAAAAAAAATATTAATTAGTTTTCGATCTATTAAAGTTAAATTTTACATAGATTAAGCATTTTAAGTATCATAATTACACTGTAGAACAATAATTTTGCTGATATTTTCAAACCTGAAGGACCTTCGGCAATCCGACAAGTTTTTGTATAGACTGAAAATAACACAATTAACGGTTATGATCGATAATTTATAATAATATGGAAAATTTTTGATATACTAAATAATTTATAAACTATATGCTTCTTAACCTAGAAACAATCGATATATGAATTTACATGCTTAAAAATGTTAAACATCCAAAAATATGCAAAGTTTGCATACTTGCAATCGAGATTTCATGAATCGAATTTATTATCATATTAGGGTATAATTCTGGTTGCGCGAAAAAAATATGCCAAGTCATAAACATTCGAGCTCTAGTCATAACTATAACTAAAATTATTCAAATCGGAACTCTGTAATTGTAACAAGAAGAAATACAAAATTTGTCGTTCGTATTATGTAAAATCATTAAATTCGCACCATTGATATTAGTGAACACGCTTCGGGAACCGTTGCAGACTAGTGTGCACCGTCAGTGGATCATTTGTGTGATGCACGCACCATGCACAACGGTGAGTTTTCGCATCTAAAAATCACTTGTCACCAAGATTTTGAGCTACACTTTTTATTACAACATAAAAAGTAATGATAAATTAATAAGATTAATATAAAAGTGCGTCTACACTACGCCGCTAATATCAATTAACATGGCTATTGGCAGTCACTTGCAATACCAATGTCCAAATAGGTTTATTCAAATTTTCTATAAAATTAACTTATGGAAGCGAGATATAGATAATTAAAGCAAAGGCTAGAGTAAAGCTTGAAGCCGTAGAGCTTTAAATACGAAGAAGGGTGAATAACATGAGATAGAGCAAAAGAAAAATGAATTAACAAGAGCTGGAAGAGTTAGGAGAAAACGTCATTACATAAAATGCATTAACACGTTGACGGACACTCGATCAATTTTACTGCTATAGCAGTAATCGTCCATTTGTGTCTATCATGGCAGTTTTAAATATTACTGCTATAGCAGTATTCTAAAAACCTTCTTAAATGTGGCATTACTGTAATAGCAGTAATAATTCCAATGGTTTCTTATGAAAGAGGATGTTGTGTTGCCCACATTAAGCATATTGCGCATTTGGGCACTGTCGAATTAAATTGAATTTTTATTTATAAGTTCACATAGGTAATTCCAATAATATTTATCAAATATCAACAACAACGTTTCTCTTTATGGGCGCGTGGCAATGTTTATCAGTTACATTCGGCTTATTCGACATAATAGTTCGTAATACCTTTGTGTTTATTATACTATTCGTGTCCTATACAAAAATTAAAATGACTGATCGTGAAGAAAATCTAATAAACCAATTTTTGTCAGACACCGACTTTAATTCTGACAGTTCTTTTTTTACGGATGATACTGACAATGACCCAACTTTTCTACCAGGAGGTCATCGAAACACAAATCCGAGTTCAAGTCCAAGTTCAAGTTTAGATAATTTTTCTACTCCTGGCCCTTCGACAGGTACGTTACAAAATCAAATTGATTATTCTAACGAAGAAAATTTGTTTGACAACACATCTAGCGATGATAGCGATTATAATAATTCTAATTCTAATTCAACTGACACATTATGGAAGGATGACTTTATACCTATACCTGATTTTAATTTTGATACTACAATTAGTGGAATCAAATTAAATGTTGAAGACACTGCTCGTCATTCCCCAATTGAAATATTTAATCAAATTTGGACTAAAGAAGTTATTGACATTATCGTGAAATCCACAAATGCATACGGATTAAACCAAAAAAATAAAAATCGACCCCATGGAAAATTTTCTCGTAAATCTAAATTTACTGAAACTGACCCAGAAGAAATAAAAAAATTTCTTGGAATGTGTATGCTTATGGGTTCATTAAAATTTCCATCATTGCGTGATATTTTCTCAAATAATCCATTATACTATCACCCTATTATAAAATACACCATGTCAGGACGACGTTTTGAACAGCTTCTCGCGTACTTCAGCGTTGAATATTCAGGTCTATCCACAGATACTGGCCCAATGAGCAAATTAAATCCACTGTTTAAAATACTAATTGCAAATTTTCAAAAAGCATTTTACCCGGGAGAAGATTTATCTTTAGACGAGTCACTATTATTACATCGCGGAAGATTAAGCTTTAGGCAATATATAAAGGGCAAGAAGGCAAAATATGGGATAAAGTTTTTTGAACTATGTGATTCTAATGGATACGTGTTAAACATTGAAGTTTACAAGGGTAAAAATAATTATTTATTGCCGTCAACAAATTCTAAAACAGATAGCCTAGTTCTTAGGCTTATGGATCCATATTTATGCAAAGGCCACAGTTTATTTATGGACAATTATTATAACAGCACTACTCTTTCCGAATTATTATTAAAAAAAAAAACACATAGTACAGGAACTCTGAGAAGCAATAGAAAGGGCAATCCTGAAGAGGTAACTAAAAAGAAATTAAAAAAGGGTGATCACGTATGGCAGAGAAAAAATGAAATTTACATTTCAAAATGGAAAGACAAACGTGACGTTACAATTATCACTACCAAATATCATCCACAAATCGTCACATCAACCAATAAATATGGGCAACAAAAGCTAAAACCTATAGAAATTGTAAAATATAATGAAAAAATGAGTGGAGTTGATAGATGTGACCAAATGGTTAGCTATTACAGTTCACCCAGAAAAACATGTAAATGGTATAAGAAAGTTATACTTCATTTGTTAGACATTGCTGTATGGAACACTTATTATATATATAAAAAAAAATTTTATGCTGAAAATAAAAATTTCAAGGAGTTTAGAGACATGATAATCAAGGATTTAATTTCGCTGCCTTCAAATATTACAAATTACGAAATTTCTATAGCAAATAAAAATAAAAAAGGAAGAAAAAAACCTACAAACGTTGCTGATAGTTCTCATTTCCAAGAGAATATACCAATTCCACCGGGTTACAAAAGAAAAAAATATTATAAAAATTGTCTATATTGTTACAGTCTGAACATCAAACGCAGAAGACAAACATATCTTCAATGTAAACAATGTGTTGTTCCATTATGTCCAGGGAAATGTTTTGAAATGTACCATTCCTCGAAATAATAATCTAATATTTAAATTTTTGTTTTTAGAACTACTAAACCAGAGTGTAATGTTATTTTGTTAAGTTTAATGTATTATTTTATTATTTATCATATCAACAAAGTACTAATGTAATTAAATTAAAGATTTATTTTGATATGTTTTGATAAAAATAAAGGGCAAATATCGAAAAAGTTAATAAAAAATTATAATACTGCTATAGCAGTAATTTAATGTTTTTGGCATATGTACATCAAAATTTAGGCGTATTAAGGCATTACTGCTATAGCAGTAATATTAATTTCACTGCTATAGCAGTAATGAAAAAGTGACATTTTAAAGTATGGCTGTAGAACAAAATCGTACTTCGGACTGTCCGTCAACGTGTTAAAACAAGAATAATAAAATAGATTAATTATAGAATATATTACTTCATTACAAATATTTTTAAAAGAACCGTACAAGAAAACCAAATAACGCTCTAGAGAACAATATTTTCAAGACAATGATCATAAAATAAGGTAAATCTGGATAGGTAAATGTGATGGAGTAAAATGGATTATCTGAATATCAGAAATATATAAAAATGAATTATAATAATTCGTTATGTTACATCAATAATAGAAAATGTAACTAGTGGCGCACAGTAGATTTTTGACAAGGATGTCGAAAATATATATTACGAAGTACCCACCCCTCCCTACCAGTAAAAACTGAGTTTAGGCATAGTATAATTTTTATTTTTTAAGTTTTTTCTTACTAACAAAGATTCTAAAAATAATTTTTTTTTTAAATAAACCAAATATTAATTATTTTTAAATTTTTTGGGTATTAATTTATAAGTTTGTATAGCATAATTTTTGGGATTGAGCCCTATTATTCTCATGTGACGTTTTAGTTCTAGGGTAAACATAATTAGTATGTTCATTTGGATAGCTGAAAAATTGTTTAGTATTAAATTAAACAAATATTCATACAAGTTCACACAGAACTAGTCATCCACCAATTCCTTAAGGGGTGTCAGTCGACACCCATGACCCTCCCTGTGTGCGCTACTAAATGTAACAATACTATATATTTAAACACATATACTATAATAATATAATTATAAAATATAATAATAAATATATTTTTAAAAACGAATACGAATAATATTCTTAATCATTTTTACATTATTGGAAATAAAACGAAGTTTTTCTTTAACTTACATTGCATTTGTTGTGGCGAAGAAGTTGGGTTTAGATTCATCTGACTCATGTTGAAATGTTGAAAGTAAAATAAATTTGATAGACAATAAAACGTCTCAAATAGATGTCAATGCGTGCAAGAGAATGGTTGTGCTGCTGTATAATAGAACAAGTATATCTAAATAGTGATAGAAATAATCGAATGATTCAATTACACTGTGTCCAACGTGAACGCGGCAAAGGCGTTGTGATGCGGGCGACGCGGCGAATAAAATTATCAAACATATAAAAATAGATTAGATTGTCCAACGTACGCGATAAACGTGGGTGACGCGAATTAATTCGCCGCACTGTTTGAAAATCAAATTGTTTTGTTTTTGGTTGTGCGTTTAAGCGAACAGACGTCAAAATATTTCCATTGCAATTTACGATTTATTATTATATGATTTTTTAATAATTTTTATACGATTATTTTACGATACGAATAGGTAAACGGGTAATATATATTATTATATATTTATATATTAGATATTGTATGGTCAATATGGAGCTCATTATATCTGAGGTACAAAAAATGAGTCTGTTCTTTGGAATAAATGTAATACAAAGTATATTAAATATTTCACTTCAGCACTTTCCAATATTAACAATTGTTTTTGAAGACTAAAAGATATTTTTAGTTGTTTTTGTTTTTAAAAGAGTAGAACATAAACGTGTAAAATATACCGCACAACCTTTGCACAACTCACTTCAAAGTACACTGCGTGTAAAAAAAAGTAAAAAATATCTGAATATGGTTTAGCCACAAATTTGCGTTCGCTGCGTTCACGTTGGACAGCGTTATTGAAATCATTCATTATTTCCATCACTACTCTAAGCGTTTCCCAAAGTATGTTTCATAAGACAATGCTAAGGGTTCCGCCAGATGTATGTGATTATTCAGAAACTTATTTTATATTATATTTGGAAAAAGTATTATTTCATATTATTCAATAAAATTGTGTTTTAAACTAATTTTAATAAAGAGTAATCATTAACAATATTCACAGTATCATTAAAAACATGATTTAGAGTACGGGTTTTCCTATTTTTTTTTGTTATTAAAAAAGTTGAATTGGAATTAAAGACATTAGGGTTCCACGAAACACAAACTGTTTTTTAAGGGTTCCGTGATTGTAAGTCTGGGAACCGTTGCTCTAAAGCTTCCCATACACGGTCAATAATATTGATCAATATTTGATATTGTCATTAATATTGATCGTGTATTGGCAGTATTGAAGGATTGATCAATAATATTGAACAAATTAAAAAATATTTGATTTTTATTGACGCACTGTCAATAAAAATAAATTAATAAAATTAATTTGAGATCTTCAAATGTGTTACCAGTGGCTAAGTAACGCTAAGTCAAGGAAAGTCTTTGGCTGGCTGAAATCGATTCTCGCATTGTATTTTGTTTTTTTATTAATGGAGTAACTAAAGTTAAAAGTTCATCATAGCATGCTCGTTCATCCTTAAAAAAATTCGATAGTCTTCAGGTTGGTTTAATCGTAGCTCAGGTAACAGATTTCCACAATTATACTTATTTCGCTTTTGCAATCTCTCATTAGCCTAAAACCTCTGCTTCCGTTTTTTCTTCCTTTTATCAAGAAAAGAAATAACTAGAGCAAGAGCTATTATAGTATTAAATAAATTATCAGACATAACTGTTTATAATTAAAATTAATGAATTGTTAAAAGCGAATTTAAATCTTATTTACTATTTGATACGGACTTGGTAATTTGATAATGATATTATATTTAATAATTTTTCAATAATATTGATACGTTGATGGTCATCGTCAATATTTTTTCAATAATATTGAACGTGTATGGGCCGCTTAAGCTAAGATATTGGGTGTTTTCAGTTAGCGATTATACATTGTACACTTACGTTTAACACTGATGTGTTATTGAAACACAATTTTAGGTAAAATTTACCATCCGGGATATCCTATTATATTGAACATAGTTTCGACGAAAATATAAATTAATAAATAGTCAATATGGTATGAAACTGGTTTAATTATAAAACCACAGACTATATTTCTAATGTAATCTGTTATACCAAATTAACAACTTTTATGAAAATCTCAAGGAAAACCCCCTATTGCAATATTTATAGTTTATTATTTAGGGTCTAGGACATTTCGCCGCAGACTTTTTCGTCGCTAGATTATTTGGTGCGAAGAGATTCTCCCCACGAAATAGTATATGTAAATTTAATCAATGTTTTGTATTAATATGAATAAGAATATATTACATCAATATGTATATTTAATCAATGTTAATACCAATGTAATTATCATTTAAAGAGTGATATACAACAATACCTACTAACGTTATGTTATTTTTTCAAATCTCAATATCGGATTTTTTGCATGCGTTGATTCCTGATTGTCACTCTTGAGTTGGAAAACATAAATTTTGATATGTTTCTCAATTAAAATCAAGTACCATTTTATCAGCCCAAAAATAGAATTTGCATCTTAAATTTCCGTTAGTCCATAAGCAGCTATGCGCTTGCATACTCCTGGTAGATTTTTTCAAATCGCATAATATGAACAAAGTCCCGAAAACCAACATTTTTGGGAAAGAAATATTAACAACATATTTTGTATGTACGATCTACTTTTACGGGTTAGTATTATGTGACAGAATTTATAATTTAATTATATGCTTTTCAGTTTAATAAACCGGTCTTAATAAAATTATTTTTTTAAATTTCAAAATAAAAAAATAATGTAGATAACCCTATTATTTTGTAGGTAATAAAAATGAATATTCTTGATGGAATTCTAAATTATCACTGTTAAACTATTGATTATAACATAATTAGGTATTAATTAAATGTAATAATACATAGAAATAAGACTCCTCGTAATTCCAGCATAGATCAGAGGTAAGTCTAGGTTACCTTTGCCTTAATTCAAGTAAATTATATCTGTGCTAAGTAGGTACCAAAAAATAAAACAATTTATCTAAATATTTCATTACTTTTTCTTCTTCAGCTTTTACAATCCTTGAAGGACTTTCGCTGCCTCTACCTACTAAATTTTTCCATTTGACTGTCGATGCTGTTCTCTATCGTTATTCCCTGTCAGCACTTATTGAGATCATCGTTAACCCTGTAAATCTAACGTTGTCTAGGCCGACCTAGGTCTCTTCCCATCTACTTTCCTAATTATTAAAATCAACCCCCAGACGTGGCCTGCCCATTCCATTATTTTACTCATTAGGTATACATTAATTCCAGGTTTTTGGTAAATGAGTTGAATCTCTATTTGTTTTTTTTATACAATTCGTTTTCTATGATAGGACCGTAAATTCGTCAAAGTACTCTTCTTTCTAAGTAATGTTTTCTTTGTCACCTTTTGTGGCTGACCAGATTTCACACGCATACGTAAGAACTGGTCGTAGAAAACTTGAGTATAGGCGCTCTTTTAATTGTCTGGGGAAACTTTTGATTCAAATAATTTTTCCAACCCATTATAACCCTAATTAGTGTCGGATATTCTTAGTTTAATTTCATTATGTATATTATTCTGATTAATTGTTTGTCCCATATTAGAAATTTTCCATTTGTTGAAAATACTGCCAGATCTGAGTGGTTTCTTGTGCCTCTATAAAATATTTAATTACTTAAATACTAAAAATTAGAATAGGTACCTATTTTAATATTCAATGGTATAAGTTAAACCATACAACTAATAAGTGATAAAATTAAGTAATCTAAACATAACCTTAGAAAGTTAGAATTCACAATCAAAAATTATCATAAGTAAACCTCTTTTAGACTGTAAAAATACACGGGTCAATAGGTAATATATTAGTATATTACTCTACATTCATAAATTAAAAATATCCGAGTATTGAAAAAATTAACCTTACAAAACTTAAATAATCAATATACAAAAAGAATAAATTCACTTGAACAAGAAGTAAAACAAAGATCTGTCGCCCTAACTAGGTGGAATTATAACAATACTCATAGAAATTAAGTCCGAGTATAGACAAGAAGTATTAAACCATATGAACTTAATTATAAAAAATGGAGAAAAATGAGACAGTGAAACATTATAGTGCGACAGAGGATTTTTTCAAACGATTCAAGATTTTGATTTCAATATTTGGTAATATTTAACCTCATGCAACTATTCTGGTTTAATATATTACAAAAATATTTGATTTCACTTATTCATAATTTATATTCACCTATCATCAATAAAAATATATTATATTAACAAGCTGAAAATGTATTTAAATTATGTAGATAATTCAGTTTCATATATTTTTTTATATAATAGTAAACATTATAAGTTTAAAAATATAACATCAATTAAAAATAACTTTTATTTATTTATTTTTTTTTTATATTAGTAATAACAAGAATAATTAATAACATTAATAATAAAAACAAACAATACATTAAAATAATATAAAAATATAAACAGATAATATTATAACTTTGATAATAATTGTTATTAACATGAGGTAACTAAATTCTAGTAATTTTACAATATTTATATTAATAAAAATAGTTAAAATAGTTTGAGATTTTAGATTTCCATTAATACTATTAAGGCACATAATATAAGTTACAGAGAACAAATTTGTCAAAAAGACTTCACCTCTCCAAACCCAAAAATTGTTAGTAAATACTAAGTATACATAATGTCTTTTAAATCTATCAAAAAAGCTACCTTTTTTTTAGGAAGAATTAGTGTATTAGGTTATTGTAAAAATAACACTGTTAAATAATATGCATCTTGTAAAAAAAATTTGCTCAATCTAATATTGATATCTTCCTAAATATGCTTCACACTTAGGACACTTATGTTCAATATTCATACATTGATCCATACAAAATGGTATTAAACATGGACCCCAAAAACATCTGCAAAAAAAAAAAAATTAAGCAATTATTATTATAATCTAAGTAAATGACATGCATATTATATGATATACAGCAATTGAATTAGATTTAAATATGCCTGTGGACAATTTCTTACAATCCATCAGATAATAACAAAAATTAATACATTTGTTGTCAGGTGCATACAAAAGGTAGGATTTTAGGGGCTCAAACCCCTTCCTAAATTCAGAAAAATTATTAAATATGTTTTTGTACAGTAAAAGTGGTATATAGATTTTATAATTATGAAAATGTACAAAAAACCACTTCCAAAATATTTTTTTTGTTAACGTGCCTGTTTGTTGTACATATGTGTAATGAAAATGTAATATAATTAATTATTTCAGTACTGAAGGATCACTTATTCACTAAATAATACATTATAAATAATAATGTAAAATAAACACAATCCTGTTTCAAATGTATACTATAAATACTTCTCTATAGCAAAACTTCCATTAACTATAAACACTTGAAAAAAAAGTTTTGTTAATGACTATTTATTATATACACCCTTTTCATAATGGACTCCTTGTAATATGAAAATATATAATAATGAATTAAAGTATTAAAACTGTAAAATGCAATCGTTGAGTTATTAAAATTAACAACTAAAGCTCAAAAAAAAAAAAAATTGTTCTTTATAATTTGTTAAAATCTGTTGGTTCTGAGCAATTTAATTTTTGAAGAGGTCTTACTGTATTTTTAATACAAATTTTAGACATCCCTAAATATTATTTTTTAAAACAATATTATTATATTTCTTAAACAATGCATTTATATATTTTCCTGAATTAAGTACTAGGTACAGTAATCTACACTACTATCAATAAATTGGTTTTGATTTTATTTATAATTGAAAGACCAATTTTATTTTATTTCTACTATTATATCTAAATATTTAATTATTAAAGTAACTTTTATCCACAAATAAAGTTATTGGTTGATACATAATATTTTATTAAATAATAGTAGGGTTGTATGGATATTGAGTAAAGTATGAAGATTATTTTATTGTACTAAATACATTTATAAATTTATCCTAAGAAATAATTTAGTTTGATCAATTTTTATTTTTATTTTATTATTATAATTACTATTATGAATAATATTAAAATATATGAGCTATCATATCTATCCAAACTTTTCATTTTCTACTTATTTAATTAAATTATGTTCAAAAAATAAAAAAAACAAAAATATTCATTACCCCACTATACAGCATAATAAACTAGACACATAAGCCATTGTACTTGGCTTCTTAATTATATTAGTGGTTATCTCTCTTCGGCAATTAAAGCAAACCAAACGAGTACTATGTGGACCAACAGGCACAACAGTTGTAATAAGTTCATACGGCGCTTTCACAACTAAATAAAATAAGATAACATTTTAATATAAAATAAAAATAAATAAAGCAGTTACATTAACTTACATTCAGGCTGAGGAGTGTAAGGACTTGCCGGTGAAACACTTGTCTGTTGATTCCATCCATAAGGTGCTGTTGGAACAGTACCTGGTGTATATGCTGTGTTCATGATTTTGTTAATAGATACCTATGAATTTTAAACAAACTATTATAAGTATATGGTTCTACATTTATCAAATAAACTCAAAAACATATTGCTAATGATTAGCATTTCCATTTTGGGAAATAAGGTCAACCATGTACTAATGTTGTAGGCCAACTTGTTATAAACACTTTCTATCTTAATAAACTCCAACATTTAAACATCAAAATAATTAAATACTATACCTTAAGGTGGTTCGTAAAAAAAAATTAAATTATTCAAAATTTAAAATAATAACAAGTAGTTTTTACAAGTTTTAATTTCAGTTAACATATCACATATCACCACGGATATGTATAATAAACATATTATACATATCTGTGCATATCACTAAATCTCAATTTGACTTTTTCATACGATAATAGTCGAAAAAGTTGATGTACTTGTTCATGGAAGAATATACACACTGCTTTTTATTCCATTGTTGGTTATTATTTCAAAACTATGGTATAATATTTACCTTAATAATTATTTTTAATAATAAAAATAAAATCAAACTTTCCAATTAATGTAGTCGTAGGTTTATAACACCAATCATAGTCCAGTCGAGACGTACAGTCATAAAATTTATGTATCTAAACCATGCAATAGTAGAAATTTATATTTTCAACTCATTTTTATAATAATTGGATCACAAAATATGTCGGAAATTAATTTGGTCTGCAATAATAAAAAATGTCGTATTATTTTGAATACGTATGCATGGGTAACGAGCTGCTCTCATGTATTTTGTGATAACCATGGTAGTGAAATATTTAATCGAGAGAAAAAATGTCCATGTTGCAATGAAGTACTCAATAGACATTTGGATATTGTTCAGACAAACTTAAATCCAGATGAATCTTATAAATCTGTATGTAATATTAATCATTGTATAAAAAACATACCTGCAACCATTGGCACAATTTGAGGAGAAGGTACCTTAGACCCTTCTCTTATAATTCAAATGTTACGATTTTTAATTTAATTCCTAAATATACAGTATATATGTAGGTACAAATTAAAAAATATTTCTATGCCAATGGTACACAGATACAATTCATAAAATAATATTCACTTAAAATGTAATGTAATTTTCATACATTGTACAGATATTTGATGTTTCACAATAAATAATTACATTTTTAAGATGATACTATGTGGATTAAGACCAGAAATTGTGATGGATATATCGTTACGAGCTGTAACTTTTTGGAACTATCAAATGGCACAAGAAAAAATAATTCAGGCATCTAACACAAAACATTTACAAGAAAAACTTGAACAAATAAAAATAAATACAAAAGTTATGGAGCGTCAGTTTCAAAAGTATATTTTAATTGAGATGAAAAAAGTAGAGTGCAAGTATACTTTTAAGAATAAACGAAAACATAATCTATTTATTTATATTTACTCATGTACAGTTTAATTTACAGCAGCTTTGAAAGATGCTGAAATACAAAGACGAAAAACTCAAGTAATTGAAGAAAAACTGATGGAAAAGAATAGAATTTTACATCAAGTTCAGGTTTGCATCTATCATACTTATTATTACAAATAGTTAATAAATAAAAATACTTCATTAATCAGCATTTATATTATTTAATTAATAATTAATGAATTTATTTTTCAAAAACTCAAATATGTCAAACCAAAGATGTGCATAACTAACTTAACATTTTAGTGTTAAAGACGTATTAAATTTATAATAAATGCATGAAATCATATGAAAATTATAATAAAATAACTTGGAATTAATCTTTTAATTCTAGTCTAAATGTGAATCTCTTAAACTTCAGCTAATTTCTACAACAGTGAAATCAACAAAAACAGAACAAACTTCTAAACCATTAAAAAGTCATACGGGTCAGTGTTAATTTAAGATCATTTTTTAATAAAATATAAAATTAATGTTTATTTTACAGATTTTGTGTTTGCCCCAAATTTAAACTAAATCATAAAACAAATATATTTATATTAAGATATTAAAACACACTACAAGAAGTTAACACTACTACACAATACACATTGTAACAATTATTATTTTAAATCAACTATTTCTATAGGTTTGATATTTAGTTCTTTATGTAATTCTTCAATTGGTTGTTCCCATCTTTTTTCAAAATAAATATTTAACATGAAATGACTGTTTAATCCTGTTTGAATAGCCCACGGTAAATAATATTTTACATACTGTTGTCTTTGTCTAAATATAATGTAAGCAATAGTTAGAATAAATTATATAAATATTATGTATATATTATATTTTTACTTTGGTTTCAGTCGTAGAGCTCCAAAAAGTCCTCCACCCAATGTCATTGGTAACTTAGTTTGAAATGCTTCAATCCATTTTACTGTTACTTCTCCTAAAAATATATTCATATATTTATTATAATTTGTTTGTATATCTGAAAATTCAGTATATTCCATAAAACATTAAATGGTATGCTTTATCTATAATTAAATTATTTTCAAAAGTAATACAATAATTATTTATCTTAAATAAACATTTAAAGATAAACATTTAGAGAAGTGGCAAGAAATTGTGGAAGCAGCGAAGGCCCTCAACGGGCTATAAAAGCTAAAAAAAAAAAAAAAAAAAAAAAAAATGTATTAAATTAATTACAATACCTAACATATTAGTAGGCATGCCCAATACTGTATGAATTAAATCATGTACTTCTCTATATCTCTGCATCACATAGGCTAATTCAATATCATCAATAAATTGTACAGATCCTCGGGAATCTGGTGTTACTTTCTGAAAATTGAAAAATTAAAATAATTTTGGGTAAAATACTTCATTGACTGGTGTAATAAAATATTTTATACATTATCTTCTAAAAATTTGTAGTAAGCATAACCAAGTGTATTTTTTGGCATATCTTTTAATTTTTCAAGATCAACAGTTGATGTATTAATGCGAGGTTGTAACCTAGAAAAATAGTATTATTTAATTAACTATATCAAACAACAATTATAAAGATATTATTTAAAATATTTATACGAAACTTTAATATTTCGCTGCCTTCTTGACTATTCATCATTTTATCTTTCATATATTGTAATGCATGCACTCCTGTAGTTTCTCCTAAAGTGGCAATCATATCTAAAATACAAATATAAGGATTAAATAATTTCAGATTTGTTTTTAGTAAAAATTAATACCTATGTCATAATAAATATACTTTTTAATTTGATATAAATGTTTTTTAAAAATAAACCAAAATTATTTTAGAAGGTTTAGTTAGTAAATTAATAAATATATATATTAAAATACTACTCGACTAAATAATTTAATAAAATATCAAAGTAAAGTAATATCATAATAATTAATGAATTATAATGTCTACATTAAAATTATAATATTTTCATATACTAAAATTTATTTATCAATTTCAATTTTTAAAACAACTCATAATAAAAAAAAAATTCCTATCAAAACTTTTTCTTTTTAATGATGTTATTTAAAAAAATAAAGTAAATATCTAATGGTAATTATTATTATTATGAACAATGATTTTTTTAGTATTCCCGAGGAAATCAATTTCTTATATTACCTGCTCTCTGAGGATCAAACAAGGAAACAGTAGCAGAACCAACTGATAATAATATTTTTTGTAACGGTGTTGTTATTATATGACTTTCGTTGTATTGAGTTATAAAATCTGACATTTGGCGATATTTTTGATTATTGGATATTATTATTCTTTTAAACATTTTAACATAAATTCAGTCGACTTTAGTAAAGCGTACACTAATAACTAATTATATTTAACAGCAGTTGTAACTTAGTTTATCTAAAAACTTCAACAATACGGCTTATATTAATAGTATTAATATTTTTAATTTTGTACGTATTTACGTACTGAGTACACGTTTGGGTCACTATAAGTACCCTGGATAGTTATATTAGAGGAACAATGTTAATTGTAATGCTAAATTCACGTCAATACGTTTGTCAGTTGATTATGCGGTTGAAAATTCTTTAGTGATTAGTGATCATTCCACACCATGGTTGTATCCGTTCCACACTGATATCATATTTGCATCACGGTCACGGTTGTTGTAGTTATAATAAACTTTTTATTATATCATGGTTGTACACACCACTACACGAAACAATTTATGTGTTGACATTATAGTACCATATGATGCTGATATTTGGAACCATTTATTAATCTCAGCTTCAATTAATCTGTAAATGAATGCCAAGTCGTATCAGTACTACAATACTATGTCAAATGTATTAAAGAACTAACTTTCAATATTCGTCAATCAACATTTATTACTTTGCTTGCGTATTTATTATAACGTCATGTACATATCACCGTACTATATATTTTTAACCTGTATATATTTTTTCATGGTCGAATTCCTGTTGTATAATTTAGATAGAGGAGTAGTTGTCAATGAGTAGAAAGTTACTCAACCACATTTTTTATAGATCCTTACCGATTTGTTGATGTTATCATCAACTTGTTATCGTCTGACTATTATTGGTGGAAAATTATTGTTTACTTCTTTTTTCAAATTCAATGTATTTATATGCTTATATACAAAAAAGAAAATAACAATTGTAGACATTATTAGTTCAATTATTAACATGCATGTCTGTTACGTTTAAATTTATACACAACATTAGTCTTTCTTTAATATTTTTCAACTTCCATCTAGTATAATTTGGTTTCATTTGACATGAAGTGTTTAAATACAGTACTGTAATATTATTGTTGTGAACGCCTTTTTTTAATCGGAAATTCATAATGTCGGATAATGCGGAAGATCAAGTAAGACTGAATTGTTGTAAATTAATATTAATAATTGTATTCAGTTTTTAATATTTTTGTATATTATTTATGTTTAATGTAGTATTAGATGCATTATTAAATATGTCGGTTAACAAATTTCAAATTGATTGTAAAATACATTTTCTGGATTAACAAATTAAATTAATTTGAATTTCATATTTCGTGAAATAGAGCAATAGAAATGTATTTATAATGTTTTGTTTTTGGAAAATACACTACATAGTCTACTAATATTAGTTATTACAGAAAAATAATAAAAATGGTACTAAAGACCTATTAATCAATGTCATCTACTTTTTATAAACATTTAAGCATTGATCTAACTAACTTTTATTTGGCACCTTCATAAGATACATATATCATAATATCTGTAACTATAGTGCTTATTAATTATTTTATTACTTTAGTTATGGTTAATAAAATTAAATATTAAATTAGTTTTTTCTATTATTGTTTTACTTTTAAATTATTTATGAATGTTATAGAACCCTAGAGATGCCGGAAATATGTGTTTGGAATTGGCTTTGGAAGGTGAAAGACTATGTAAAGCAGGGGATTGTCGTTCAGGAGTGGCATTCTTCCAAGCAGCTGTTCAAGCAGGAACTAATGATTTACGTACTTTAAGCGCTATATACAGCCAATTAGGCAATGCTTATTTTTATTTAGCAGATTATCCAAAGGCTTTACATTTTCATAAACTTGATTTGGCTTTAGCAAGGTAATTATATTTTTGTAACTATATTATTATTTATAAAAAATATATTAAATATACTGTCAGAATTTTTAATAAATATTTAGTGTGTACTCTTAATACTGTATAATTACATTCTATTATTTGATTGATTTTTTTTTTTTTAATTCAAATTTAGAACATTGGGAGATAAGCCAGGTGAAGCTAAGTCCAGTGGTAATTTAGGAAATACATTGAAAGTTATGGGAAATTTTGATGAAGCTATGATTTGTTGTAAACGTCATTTAGAAATCGCAAGAGAATTGGGAGATAAAGTAATTTTGTTTATTTTGTACTGTGAATATTTGTATATTAAATACTAATTAATAATAAATACATAATTAACTAAGTTTATAAAAATGTAAATCTAGTTTTTAAAATGCTTTTTTAATGATTAAAATAGTTGAGTGAAGGACGTGCTTTATATAATTTGGGAAATGTATACCATGCCAAGGGTAAACATATAGGAAGAGTAGGACAGCAAGATCCAGGAGAATTTCCAGAAGAAGTAAAAGTTTGCATTGAACAGGCTGTTAAATACTATGAGTAAGTTTATTTTATTTATATATATTTTAATTTATATCCTATTAACTAAAACATTGTAAATGCATTCCATATTTATTATTTTTTTTTTCTTATTACAAAGCTAAATTAATGTTCTGCTATTCTTAACAAAAATAATACAATGAATAATATTTTATAGAGAAAATTTAAAATTAATGAAAGAGCTCAATGATCGTGCAGCTGTTGGTCGAGCTTGTGGTAATTTAGGAAATACCTACTATCTGTTAGGTAACTTTAAAGAAGCCATTCAGTATCATGAAGAAGTAATAGTTTATAATTTTTTTTTTTTTTTTTATTGCTATACGGAACATTGAAATTTAGCTTAAATATTATCTTTATTATATTTAGAGGTTAAAAATTGCTCGAGAATTTGGTGATAAGTCAGCTGAGCGTAGAGCAAACAGTAATCTAGGAAATTCTCATGTTTTTCTTGGTGAATTTGAAGAAGCTGCTGATCATTATAAGTAAAATAATATATATATAAATTTAAATTAAACTTTATTAAGTTATTATGATTAAATTAGGAGAACTTTAATCCTTGCTCAAGAGTTGGAAGATCGAGCAGTTGAAGCACAAGCATGTTATAGTCTTGGGAACACATATACATTATTGAGAGATTATAATACTGCTGTTGATTATCATTTAAGACATTTAGATATAGCACAAAAACTACATGATAGAATTGGTGAAGGTAAAATATTTTTCTTAATATAAAGACCAAAAAATATTTTATTATTCAACATGTTTTATTTTTGATGAAAACCTTAATAACTTATTCAATTCCATTAAAATATAATTATTTGATACCATTGCATTATTATTAAATACAAGTATTACATGTGTTGTACATGTATTGTACATGTGTTTAAGGTAGAACAAAAACATTTTTAACATTTGGAGTTTAATATATAACTACCACGTAATTTCTACTACCATTTTAATGTAATTTTTAAATTGTTATGTTCAAAGTTTTAACTAATAGATTGTATTTAATTTCTATATTGTCTTGAAAAATATATTTGTTCAGAATTAACATTTATAATATTTGTATTTACAGGAAGAGCATGCTGGAGTTTGGGAAATGTAAATCTGGCTCTAGGAAATCATGAAAAAGCATTATATTTTGCTTCTAAACATTTGGAAATATCTAAAGAAGTAAACATTAATTATTGGAGTATAAATTATATTTTGATTGCATTTTTAATTAAATTTAGATTGGCGATACAGTAGGTCAAGCAACGGCACAAATAAACATAGTAGATATTAAAAAATCATTGGGTATGTCAAATGGTCAACTTTCACCAGACAGCAAAGAACTATTGGATACTATTTCTAATACACAGCCATCACCTCAGTTACGACGTTATCGGGTGAGACGTCAAAGCATGGAACAGCTTGATTTACTTAAGGTAGTGTGTGCATGTTTGTGTTTAGTTTTGCCCTTCATTGTTTTATGTAATTATAATACATTAATTCATTTTTACTGTGTTCAGTTAAAAGTAAAACACCCAATCATTTTTGGCTAACGGTAATCATTTTAATCAAGTTAATGTGTAGTAAACAAATTGCTGCAAATATCATTCTGCTTTTTTTAAGTTGTATTAATGTATTTTATTTGACATATTATTTGTTAATAATTATAGTTGACTCCAGATAATAAAGGTAAAGCACCAATCTCTAATGACAAGATTTATCAGTCTACTTCTTCAGGTTCTAAAAAGGTATATATTATATATTTTTATATTTATCATAACATCTATTCATTGTTTGATTTTTAAATAGTCTGAAAAAACTGAAGATGATCCATTCTTTGATTTATTATCACGGTTCCAAGCAGGACGTATGGATGATCAACGTTGTACTCTTGGTTCAACAAGAAATTTAGAAGATAAAGAAAATCTGAACTCAAACAAATTAGTTTCCCAAATCGGTAAACCTATTCAACTATTTTATATAATCTAAGCTATTAATCAGTATTATTTTTATTTTCTAAAAGTAGTTTTAACCTAATTTACTGTCACCATTGTTTTTATATTTATTTTTATTAAAAATTTTAACAACAGAAATTAAAATATTTTGATTTGATTTCACATGTACTATGTTCAAAAATATTTTTGCGTTTGTTTTATTACATTTTTCTTGCAATTCACCGTTTTACATGAAAATAATTTTAATAATTTACCACATAATTTATTTATATGAATTGTGACATTAAAAATTTAGTTTCATTTGTAAGTTAACACTTATGAATCAAATCATATAAATAATTTCTGTACGAATTGTATGTGCCAAAATTTATTACATTTTTAATTTGATTTGTAATTTAGTTTTACTAGCATCATAAATAATTTGAAAATTAAATCAACTTTGACATTATTTTTGTACTGCAGTAGGTCATGCTGAAAGTCAAGATGATTTGTTGGATATGATAGCTGGTATGCAGAGTAAGAGGATGGATGAACAAAGAGTAGAATTGGAGCAACTTCCTGGCATTGCAAAACCTGACATTGAACAACAGCCTGATGATAATTTCTTAGAAATGTTAATGCGATGTCAAGGAGAACGACTGGAAGATCAGCGTAGTGAACTACCTGTATCTAACATTAGTAGTGATGGAGAATCACAACGTACACCAAACCGAGGACCAACTGTACCAGATGAAGATTTTTTTACTTTAATTATGCGTCTTCAGTCGGGTCGTATGGAAGATCAACGAGCAAGTGTGCCAATGCCAAAACGAAATTAATGTACACTAAATTATGAAGTATTATCAGTCTGGTTAAGTTAATATTTTCATGTCTATATTTACAGTTTTTTTTTCTTTAACTATAAGGAAGTTATAATTTTATAATTTATATCTTTTTAGTATTACTTATTTTTAACTATATAAACAATTTATATAAATTGAATGTTCATTGTATTTTTCCACTATTACAATTATCTTTTTAATTGACTGCTTGATCATAATTATAATTATTATTATTATCATTTTATAATTAAAATTATAAATTATTATTTATTTATTATTATTTTAATAATATAGATTTAATATATACAGTACATGTATATATATATATATATATATATTTATATATTACACATATTAACTTATAAGCATTTATTACACATAGATAATTTGTGGATTATAAGTTAGTACTAATACTTAATATTTCCAATACTGTAGTAATATTATTATTGATTACATGTATATTTAATTTTATGCCATATTAGTTTAACCGAAGCATAGCATTTAGATAAGTGATTCAAGTATTTAATATTATTATTATGTATTTACATATACGTTGATTATTTAATTCAAAATAAGATTTTATGTTATACAAAACAAAAAATTATTCTGATATTTAAGTTAAGCATAATAAAGTTTAGTTTTTCAAATGTGTATGTATTATTCTAAATTTGACCATAACAAAATACAACAATTTATGATTCAATGGTTGATCAATATAAAGTATTTTTTACATATATATATATCTTGAATTGGAACAAAATTCTTGTTGGATGAATATTGTTCATTTGATAATTGACTTTAGTCCATGTGAATATTTATTGTACCACATATATCCAGTTGCAATGGCTAAACCATACCTGTAGTAATTAACAATAAAATAATATAACTATAGACATAGGTATTATTGTTTAATAATTTATAAATAGTTTTTTAATTAACTTTAAATTTAAATTATTTATAATTCAATAATAAACAAAAAAGAAAAGTATGAATGGCATAAAACAAATTTCTCTTACCAAGTAATGATGTATGATACATGTTCATTTCTTATGGAAATATTTGTTTGGCCTCCAATTGGTCCACCAGGAATACTAGATTCAGCAACAGCATCAATCAAAATAGGTTCACTATTAACTAATTTGGACATTGCGTCTAAATCTCTAGAATAGCAAAAAATTTATTTAACCATATATGATAACAAATAATAACTCTATTCAGATACAGAATAGATCAAACTAAATTATTATTAAAAGTTATAAGATGGATAAAGAAAGCTTTTTATTTGTAAGTAAACATCTTAAAATACCAATTATTAGTATCATAAATAAAATATTTTTCTTGTTTCAACATAATGAACATATTTTTTTTTTTTTTTTTAACGGGCCTTTAGCAACTTAGATGTATGTACAGTGCATCTTTAATTGGGAGGTATGAAATAGTAAAAACTATGACTATGTACTTAGACCCAAATGCCTCATTCTGCTAGCCTTCTTAAAGATTTGAAATAAAAATAATTAATTTACCTATAAGACCAGAATTGAGAGTTTGCCACATTTTTAGATACAAATTGTGGCCTAGGTTCTGTTAGACGAACAATACCATCTAATTCAATTTCACCGACAACTTGACCAGATATTCGTGATGCAGGATCTTTATTTTTCATGGATACCCAACCACGATTCACTAAAATTGTTAAACTAAAAATAATAATTATTTATATGTGAAAAATAGAAGAAAAATATATTCTTACGGTCTATCAGATAGTTTAAATGGTGTAATGACATAATAACCACTTGTTGTAGATCCAGATGTAGAAAACAATCCATTACCACTGTCAGATCCACCATTAGATATACAGGACCTAGGACCTAGATATAACTCCTTTGAATGATCAAATTCACCAACAACTCTAACTCTACGATATTCAAGATTTTTAAGTTCATCTTCGCTAAAAAAAATTAACAAGGAAAATAATTATTAATTGGTTTTCTAACAAAATTGTTGTCATCAAATTTTGAATTAACTTTTCTGGAAAATTTATTGCAGGATATTGAGTTTGAGTTTTAAGTTCTTCAATAAGATTTTCTTTCCAATATTTTCGCTTTACTTGCCATGTACCCAATCCAAGTGCAGAGATCGGTATTACCTTGAAATTAAGCATAGATCACATTTTTTATCCAATAATAAAAGATGAATAATAAATAGTTTTCAACCTTACTAGCAAAATCCATCCAATATCTGTATTATTATTTTTCCTTCTAAATTTACTTAATTCAATTGATTTAGTTGTCATACTGAAATTTTTTGTCAAACCTGATACCTATGGTAAACATTAAAAAATAAAATAAAATTAATATTCATAAAATATATTTTAAAAATGTTGAAATCAATCACATAGAATTTAAATAAATTGTACAATATAACAGACATCAGGGTAATAGGAATTTGTATTTTGTTTCATTTATGCATTATTAATTTATTATAGTTAAATTATTAGTATAAGTTATAGTTAGTATTGTTATTAAAGTGCTTGAATATTATAGATAGCAAAATAGTCAAGCACAATCCATAAGTTGATAACTAATAAGTCGATCTTAAGCAATTTTTCAGAATTTGTGTTCTATACATTTATAGTAATTGCTTACAGCTGATATGTTCTTGAGAACAATTTTTATTATAATTGAAACTTTTATTGTTGTTTTCTAAAATTTATTTGAAGAAAAAAAAATAATATCTCGATCCATTTTTAATTTTAAGTGTTCAGTCAACTTTGTTATACACCAAAGAAAATAATATAAATACAGTAGGCATTTTCTAGCTTAACTACATTAATAAATGCTTACACAATAACAAAATCTGCTTTGAATGGGACATTTGTAGAAAATATGTTACTAGTTAAGAGAACAGAGCATAATTGGTGAAACTTTTGGTATCTAATTTTTGTATCAGCATTATGAGACGGCAAATGTACAGCAAATGCAGTTGGATTGTGTAGTAAAAAAAAAAAAAAGTTAAGAAATAATAGAAAAGAAGATAAAAAATGAAAATAATGATTAATAAATGTATTCAAACATTGAGTTTGAACAAAAGTAAGTTAAAGAACTTATAATTTTTCAAAATTTAGACTTATAACATAATTATATTGTTTCAATAGTTATTATTTAAACTAATTAAACATAAAATAATTCATTGTTGAAGTATAAAAAAAATATCCATAGGTTATTATATCATAATTACATGTACTAAACTAAATGTATATATTTTTTTTATTAATATTTTGTGACAGAAAGACAGTTTAATAAATAAAATAGAACTAAAAATCGTTGACATAATTATTAATTACAAATGTTACCTAGAGTTTATATTGGAAAATAGTTTAGCTTTAATTTATTGTGATTAGAAAATGTAAATTTAATCATTAAATAATTTGTTAAATTAAAATGTATAAATAATTTACTATGGCCCAATATTGCACAATAACTATTATATTGATTTTAACTATTATTTTAATACTTACATATAATTTGGAAGAAATAACATTTTGTTTAAATAAGTAATTCGAAAACAATTTTCCGAAGATCATTTTAACACTTATTATTCGAAACGTAAAGGATTCAATTCACAAAACAATGTATTTACTTGTTAAATAAATTTCTGTTTTGTTGGGTCTGTACGACTGAACCAAATTTTTTCAATGATAACTATGGAGGTACCTATCACGAATTAAGAAATAAATATATATGTGTGAGTATTCATGGCATATACATATTATGTCTATGATTCATGGTAATAATTAAAATATTTTGATTATATTCGTATTCTGTGATAATATTACAGATATCGTAGAAGTCGTTAACACTGTTATCACCGAACTACGATAAAATTGATTTATTCAAATAATATAAATAATACTTATATGATTTTAGTTGTTAGTAAACATATTTAAACTGTTGAATTTTAAATTTATGAAACACGAAAAAAAAAATTTAAAAAGAATATTAAACTTTATGATTTTGAAATGGAAAAATATGAAAAAGGTAACAGTTTAATTTTAAAAATGTTTAATGGAACATCTTTTTAATTTTCAGATCTTATAAAATTGTATGTTTATTAATATTATAAGATATAAGATATGTCTTAAACCGTGATTAATAAAAATTATTCCCATTTTTGTTTTATTCACTATTAATTTGAATTATCGATTTATATTGAAATGTTTAAAATGTTTATATTGTAGATGAGTTATCGAAAATTGAACATGATTTAAAAAAAATTAATGCTAAAATTATAAAACTTCAAAAACATAAAGCAGAGTTATTAGAGCGTAAAGAGAAGTTGAAAGAATTGTCTTTTCAAAAACAAACTAATTATATTAGTGATCAAAATAAATGGAATCATACAGGTTTAAAAATTTGATTAAATTTATTTAATTATATTTTATTTCATTGTACATTTTATTTTATTGAAGTTAATGGTACGAATAATTAATTTTTAGATTTTCCTTGGCAGAAAAATGTACAAAAAACTCTCAAAACTGTTTTCCAGTTAGATACATTTCGTTCGCAGCAGTTAGCAGCTATAAACATTACATTATCCAAACATGATGCTATACTTATCATGCCAACTGGTGGAGGAAAATCTCTTTGCTACCAGTTACCTGCTTTAATTGATCAAGGTACTATTATTTTCTAACATGGATTGAATTTGCATATTTTTTATGTACAAAATGTTCATTTTACTTATATAAAGTATACACTACCTTGATTTACGATCAGAATAGGTTTTCGAGTATGATCATTTTTTGTTTTTAAATATTTATGACTAGAACAATGATTAAAGGTCAAGTGTATTCTTTTAATTTTTATTGTAATTGTTTGAAATATTTTTCAGGATTCACTCTTGTTATATCTCCCATGGTGTCACTTATGGAAGATCAGATAATTCAAATGCAAAAATTGAACGTTAATGCTCAAATGATAAGCTCCTATTCATCAAAAGAGGAAACAAAGTTATTATTTCAAGTACCATTACATTTTTTCTAATTAATTAATATTGTTATTATAGTTAATAATATTTTTTATATTAAATTAATGAAGAAAATATGAAAAAATGTATTTTTATATTTAGATGATGATTGATATTAAATCGGGCTTAAAACTTGTATATTGCACTCCAGAAAGAATAGCTAAAAGTAAAACGTTTATGAATAAATTACAAAAAGCATATAGTCTTAGATTATTATCAAGAATAGCAATAGATGAAGTACATTGTTGTACTACATGGGGCCATGATTTCAGACCTGGTTAGACCTGTTTTTAGCACGAATCACTATTTTTTTTATTATTATTATTATATTAAAAATTGTATTTTAGACTATACACATTTAACCATATTTAAACCCATGTTTCCCGATGTTCCTATTTTGGGTCTTACAGCAACTGCTTCTTCAAAAGTTATTGTTGACACACAAAAACTATTACAAATACAAGGATGTGCTTTACTGAAAGCATCATTCAATAGACCTAACTTATATTACGAAGTAAGCAAATAATTAATTATGAGTTATTTTAATAATTTGATTAAAATAATTATTAGGTTAGATGGAAGCCTGATGGAAAGAAATGTGTAGATGAATTAGCATCATTACTTAAAAATAAGTTCAAAAATCAGTCAGGAATTATTTACACAACATCTATAAAAGATTGTGAAAGTTTGCGAAATGATTTAAAGTAAGATACCTAGGTATAGAATTATAGTGTTCAATATTCAATGTTTTAGGATATAAGCTAGATATCAGTTTTTTTAGAATTTTTTTTAAATTACAGAAATAGCAGTAATTTTTGTAGATTTTTAATGTTAAAGATACCATCTATCAAATATTTTGGAAGATAAAGTTAATTGTGATTTTTATAAAAATAGTAGAATTTAAGTATCTATATAAAAATAAAAACTGCTTCTTTACCAATTTAATAAACAATATCAAAATAGTTTAACTGGATTTTGATAATTTTTTCATTAATATTTGATGAAAAAAATATGTATTCATCTGTTAACTATTATATTATTATATTTAAATTAAATCTATCATACTTAGAGAACATGGGTGTGAAGTTGGTGCTTATCATGCTCAATTAGAAGGAACATTAAGATCTAAAGTTCATAAAAAGTGGCTAGATGGTAAATATCAAGCAGTTGTAGCTACTATTGCTTTTGGACTTGGTATTGATAAACCTAATGTGAGATTTGTTATACATCACACATTATCAAAATCAATTGAAAATTTTTACCAGGTAAGAATTGAAATAAATCTATTTTATAATAAAATAATGTTTAAGTATTTTAATTCAGTAAAATAATTTTTCTAAGTATAAATAATAGAAAGTTGGTTTATATCTTTTACTGATGTAAATAGATCTGTAGTTATTAATTAATTTTGTATGATGTACTTGTTTGATAGCAGTGAGCCATAAAAAAAAACAAATTTTCAAATTAAAATTAATATTTTTATTCCTTTAATTATTTATCAAAATAACTTTGATTTCTTCATAATTGAAAAATTTCTATTTTATGATAAATTTTTAGAACATTTTAAAGTGCAGAAATTAAAAACCCAATAATTGGTTTAATAGTTATAGGCTATTACTAATGTAAAATTTGAAAAGAAGAAATGTGTATATTATTAGATATAATAGCTTTAGCAATAAATTAGTACAAATTAGATAATTCCTAGTGTTGTGTGCCGTCGTTCAATCGTAACGATGGTTAAGTTTTTTAGAGTAATACTCCAAAATAAAATACTCAAATATATTTTAACTGTTTATTTTAAGAATTTTTCTAAGTATAAAAACATTAATTAAGAAATGATCTGGCGTGAAGGTGCTTGCGACTGTACATGTAAACCACATCTGCATATTGGTCTGTTCCCAACCCCCTTATATACTTAGGTCTCGTGGGAATTGGCCTCGCATTTCTATGTAATACATTATTTCCAATTACTGTTACTACCTGGAGGTGTTAAATTGTAATTAAAATGGTTGACCTCGGTAATATTACTATTCGAACATTTCTCATATTTTGTTATGCGCTTTTATTAATTGCTTTTTTATAATTCTTTGAAATGTAGTCTGACAGCTCATATTCGTGTTACCCTCGGTTCTTAATCATTCCTTTCTCTTCATACGAATACGAATATTATATTAATAATAATCATTTACCGATTTCTATTATTTTTAATCTACGTGATCCCATCCATGTATTATGAGTCGTAAGGACCTACATTTATGTATGTCCGCAACACTAGTCATATTGATTGATATGTTTACTTAATATATTTATCTCTACTTATTAAATATTGTTAAATATTTATTTTATTAATGTATAGGAAAGTGGACGTGCTGGGCGAGATGGTAAACCTTCTACATGCTTATTATATTATAAATTAAGTGATGTGTTTAAATTAAGCACTATGGTATTTACTACACAAACTGGATTACCTAATTTGTATTCTATTATAAAATATTGTTTAAATGTAAAAGAGTAAGTTTAAAAAGTGGTATACATAAGCATGCCTAAAAAAAACTTCAGAAGTCCTGCCTTCAATATTCGAGTGAATTTAAATAGTATTCAAAAAATGTGATTTATATAATAAATTAAAATGTAATTTATAAAAAAAAAACTTCACCAACTTCTTTTAGGCTTGCTTCTGTATATAATAATAACTAACAATGTAATATATTTATATATGTGTTTGTATAATTTGTTATTATTAAACATAGATGCAGACGGAAATTAATTGCATCTCATTTTGATGAGTCATGGGAATCGACTGATTGCAATGCAATGTGTGATAATTGTTCTAATCCAAAAACTGTGAAACCAATTTGTATAAATCAATATTGCACTGATATATATAAAATACTGAATGCTTCCATAGAATATGATACTAAATTTACTGGTAATTATTTTTACTAGGAATTTTTTGTATGTTGTTTGAAATTGAGTTATTTATTATTAATAGCTCAAATGCTATTGGACACTTGGTATGGTAAAGGTAACAAAAAAGTGTTGCTGTCTGATGTTCAATCTCCGGTATTTTCAAGATTTCGAGCTGAAATGATTCTTAGTGAACTTATTGTACAAGGATATTTGGCAGAAGATTTTCATTATACACCTTATTCTACTATTTCTTACATAAAAAAAGGTAATTATTACAGGTAACTGAAGGTAATTAATAACTAGAGCTCGGATGTTAATAATCAATAATTTATTAAAATATGTAAATATATACCTAAAAATATATGAAATATACTTATTTTTCAATAACTATTTATAAAAAAGGGGTTAATATTTAAAAAAAATAATAATAAAATACTCTTTTGAATATGTATTTTTAAAATTAAATTATATTTAGTATAAGTACTTTAAGTATCAGGATTATACTCTAAAACAATTACTTTGTTGATATTTCAAATTTGAAAGACTCAATGATCTGACTATGTTTTTATATATGGATTTGATTGCTCTATATCCAAAGAGTTTGTAGTCAAACATCCGAACTTTATTAATATATTTTCATAACATAATCGTTAATAATGATAAGTGTATTTTTAATAGGTCCAAATCATTTTAAAGTAACTAATGAAAACAAAATTATCATGGAAATGTCCTCAGAACAGACTGATGAACCAGTTTTGAAAAAGTTTAGATCAAAATAATTGACTTTATAGTATTATGTTAACAATAATATTTGAATTTTAAAATAAATGCATTTTTATAATAAGTTGTTTTTTGATTTTATATTAGATAAACATTGGGTTTGTAGTACATTCATTTTAAGTTGATAGTAATTCATAATTTTTTATCAAACTTGGTTCAACATTTTAATAGATAAATTTTTAGTTATTTTTTATGAACTTTAACTTTTATAACTTTTATATACTTAAATAGTATAACTGTGCATAAAAAACATGCTAAAAGTAAGAATAAAAATAAAATAAAAATAGTTATTGGTTCAAAGTTTTGTTTCACAGTCTAGGAATGTACATACCATACATTTGAAAATAAGTTTTAAAAAATTAACAAAATTAGATCCAACCTAAATTAAAAATATGAAATTAATTGAAAATTACTAACTTATAAAATCTTAGGGCTGCTATAAATTATAGATTTTATGAATTTCATTTGGAAGTATGAATTATATTTTTGTTGTCTCAAATAAACTGTAATGTTTTTAATATATTGCTTGTACATGCAATGCTTGTAATTTAGGTTTCATCTAGAAAAATATTAAGTGATGTAAGTTGTATTCATACGCGACCATTCTACATTTATGATCGGTGAATGTTTTTAGTTTGTCTATATAATACACCTTATACATAAGAAATCAGAAGATCAATAGCTAGTTTCATTAACCGACGATAATTGATGAAAACGTAAATAAAATAAAATATAGAAACAAAAAATAGACACAGACTAAACCAGGAGCAACGAAATCATTTTGTACCAGGCTCCGATTTAAGAAAATTTAAAGAGGACCCTGTTAAAGTCCAGATTGATTTATGGATGAGATACAGCAGGTATAGGTACAACATACAATATGGAATTGGACTCTTGTATGGATTTAACAAAACCGTCATTATAATATTTTATTTTTTTTTTAATACTTATTTTGCAATTTGGGACACCGGGTCAGCTAATAAGATTACAAAGAAAAAATAAAATTGAAAAGTTAACAATTACATTATGTCAAAAAATAAAAATTATAAAACACTTAAAATTCTTTTAATATTCACTAAAAAATCACAATAAAAATTACAATTTCAGATTTCTTATTATGATACCTACTTATTATATTTCATTTAATTTTTACTTATTCTAAATTAAGTTTTATTTTTATTGTAGTAGGTACTTTATGGTACACGATATTTTTTGTTTGATTATTTGGTGCGTAAACAAACAAACAGATGGTTTTCCAACACGGGAACAGGCAACATACCATACATACTAACCATGCGAGAAACATGGGATTTTTAGAATAATACCATAAACATTTAATGACTATCCCTGGAATTTTTTTATAGTCATAGCGAAATCAGGCCGTACTGGAAACTGTAGTCGTTTAAACTCGAATGGTAGGTACGTCAGTCGAAATCATTGGGATTCGGGTAATCAAATCGTCTTCTCCTTTTCGCCAGGAATGTCATCTAAAATTTTGAAATTTAATTTATATAAATTAGTGTTTTTGGCATCCAGTATAGCTCGTTTGCTCAACCAGTCATGGAATAAGTAATTTTGAGCAACATTTGGAAACAATTTTTGAATGAGTTCAGCTTTTGATTGCGTTAACTAACAAAAACTCTATGGAAAGATGATGCAGCCAGTTAGTAGGTACATCTATAGGAAATTTGCCATTAACAATATCAATGAGTTGTTTAAAGAATATGTTTTCAGATTAATCATTTTGCATCATGACACGCATATTCTTGCTTAAATGTAATATCTTGAGAGGTTTCAACAAATCGGAGGACTTTAAACATGCATTTAGTTCATCAGCTTGCGTTGAACGTGAAACCACTAGCAATGTTTGGCGAAAATCTCCCGATAATAAAACCATTGCGCTACCAAATTGGTTTTGATTGTTCCGTAAATGTTTTAAAATTCTATCTAAAGCTTCTAAAGATTTTTTATGAGCCATCGTGCATTCATCCCACACTATTAGTTTGTAAAACCTTTGCCATTGCCGAATTTTTGGAAATGTTGCAGGTTAGAATTTCGTTGTTTTGCATATTTAATGGCAATTTTAGAGCTGAATGGGCTATTCGACCGCCTTCAAGCAAAGTTGCTGCAATGCCTGACGAAGTAAGAGCTAGAGTAATTTCATTTTTTGAGCGAATAGTTGCCAATATTAAAGTAATTAAAAAAGTTTTTCCTGTACCACCAGGAGCGTCCAAAAAGTAAATTCCTTCAATTCCATCATGTATTACTTTAGAGTATCAAATACATACTTTAGTTCTTCGTTCAATAGTGGAAGACTTTTTTTAATCGATTCTTTTAAAGTATTGAGATCTTACGTCTTTTCACGTTGTAACTCTTGATGAAAAGCATTGTGCATTGGGCGTGACCATCCCAAATTGACATAATAGCTTAAACTCAAGTCACCACGTCTTTATAATATTTCCATACTGTAAAATGAGAATGAGGGGGTTTGATCCCCTAAATTTCCCTACCCATGTTAATGGCCCTAAGTCTATTTATATTATTTTTACATACCGAAAATGTATTTATTTATAAAATAAATAGGTACAGTATATGTTTTACGTTTATAAGATATTATTCAGAAAAGTTGAATAATGAAATACAAATAAACAATATTATGTGTCAAATACCTGAAAATTTAATATTTATTTTTAAATTTATATTTTATCTATTTATGTACACGGTTTTAATCAGAAAGACTGTTCACACAGTCATAAGAAATTTCTTATAAAAAATGTTTACTTGTTGGTAAGTTATTTGAAAGTGGTAATTTTACGATTTTCCTAACAGTTTTCTAAATAATTGAAAAAGCTGACACATAGATATACCATACCAATTTTCGACAATCTATTTTTTAGTTTTAACATAGGAAACTCCAAAAATATTAATCATAGGAACATGAAATGTTTACTGAATGCTTATATTACCGTTTTCTATATATGGTAACATTTAAGAAATATTATTTTTAAGCTTATTATAAGTTATACTGTTCATTAGTAAAAAAAACTAGTATTAGTAGTCAAATTTTTAAGAAGAATTTTGTAGTTAGAAAAATTTGACTTCATATAAATCGTATCTGCAACACACACGAAAATAACGAGAAAAATGTCGATATTGTAATAAAATTAGTGACAACACTGTGTTCCCCTTAGCTCGTTATCAGCCTAAACTGAGTGTCCATTCTGATTTAATCTATTCTGTGGTATAACAGCTGTCGCGTCTGTTCATGTTTATTTTCAGGTTCCCAAACATGAAAATATAAATTATATAGTGAGGATGATAATGAAATATTTATGATGAAGCACCGAAAGTTGAAGACAATGATTGTTGTCAAAGTTTTAATACTTTTGTTTTAACTTTACGGTATTGTTAACAACGTATTTTCTATTTATTTGCATATGTTTTATTATTAATCATTAAACATGTTAAGACCTAAAATTTTATCTCAAGTTCTGAGTCAAGCTAATACTAATGGTGTTGAAAACACAATGTGAGTTGTATTTAATTTATTTTTATACTAAATATCATTATTTTAAACTTTTAAGAAAACTTTGTAAACTCTTATATTTTTTTCATATACCATGTGTTATTAATATATAGGTTCTATTTTCTATACAATCTTATTTTAAATAAAATCATTATGTCACATACTTTTAAAATACTCTAAACTTAATACTATTTTGTTGTATAATTATTAGGTTATTGACTCATGAAGGTTGCTTATTAGCATTTAGTGGTTATGGGGATAGAGATTCAAGCATTACAGCTATTATTGCAGCAAATTTATGGAATACATATCAAAAAAATGGCTTAGCAACATTAAAAGAAGATCAATTACAACTGGTTCTTATGGATTGCACGGTAGGAAAAATAAAAAAAATCACCAAAAATCCGACTGATGTAAAATAATTTATATTATGAATGAATATTAAGCTTAGTTCCATACTACTAAATCTTTTATTTTTTTGTATTTGTATCGCATAGTTACAAATAATAATTTTATGGTATTTTGTAACATTATAGTATGATTCTAAAATTATAATATTTCAAGCTTCCCAACTATTTATTAATTGAAAAACATTTTGAAATTATTGTACTATCAATATTTTTTTACTTGTTTATAATCTATTAGTCTTTTTATACATTTTTTTATTTAATATTACAGGAAGGCAGAGTGGCAATTAAGCAAGTTGCTAATATCTTATTGTGCTTATATGCAAATCGTTCTGTAGAATTTGGTTTACTCAAAGAAAAAATTACAGCCTTATCTACATATTTGGATGGTCCTCTCAGACAAATTGCTGCATCATAATATGTATATTTCTATAATTCATCGTTTATAGAATTTATGCTTTTATATAAACTATTGTTCTATGTTTTATAATAAATAATAAATAAAAATATAAATTTAATATAATATATTTTATTCTTAGAAAATTAATTTAAATAATTCTTATTTTTTCACAACTTGTATAACATCTTCATCATGCATAATATGCTGTAAACCCACTCTTTGAGGAGAATATTTTGTACTAGTACCCTAAAAAATTTTATATTCCATTATTTTTATGAAACATTTTTGATGTGAATACAAATACATACCCAAACCAAAGCATATTTAAATTGTTCTGTTAAAGTGCGATGAATTGAATGGCAAACATGTTCTACAGAAACACCTTTCCTTAAAATTAAACAATCATCAAAATCTGGAGGTTGTCCTGGTTTCTTAGTGTACACTCGGATCAATGATAAATATTGCCATAATACTTCCAATAAATAGTCAAGATTTAATTTCATATTACAACTAAAATAAAAATACACATTTGTTATCAGTATATTATAATATAATATAATCGGAAATCACTTTCAATACCTCACTACAACACTATTGGGCTGCCTAGCAATTCGATCTACCTCTTCAATAGATATTTGATCAATTTTGTTGTAAACATACATACATGGTAAGTAAACACGATTTGCAGATATAACATCAATAAGTTCATCAGGTGTACAATCTTCTCGAAATAGTACTTCTGCATTGAATATTTTGTATTCATGTAAAATTACTTGAACAAGTTTTTCATCAATTCTAGATAAAGGGCATGTAGCGTTGAATGCCAATCCGCCACCTTTTTTAATCTATGTAAAAAATAACAGATCTATAAGATATTAACAACTAAACATTATATAGATCTTACCTTGAAGTAAATATTCGGCTTTCGTTTGTTTAAACGAATTCCTACACTTTCAAGTTCTTTTTCTAATAATTGACGTTGAATGTCTTGCTTTGTAGCATCCAACATCATCAATACTAAATCTGCAGTCCTAGCAACTGCAATAACCTATGATAACAGATTAAGTTTATTTTCAAATTAAAAAATTAATATAAGTTTTTTTTTGCTTTAGTTAAAAACATTACAGCAAAGCAATTAAATAAACAAAAATAAAAGTAATAAAAAAATTTATAGAAGAAATTAAAATTAATTATATTAAGTAACCAGCAAAATAAATTAAATTAATAATGGAATGGAGCAAGAGTTATACCGGAACAGTGGTATCATTTCAGTTTTGATAGGGGAACAAAATTTTTGACCAGCCCATACTAGCGGAGGAAATTTGGAGTTCACTCACACGTTTTTATATATTATATTATTATACAGCTTAAATTTTTGCAAAATATAATTTTGTATTTTATAAACATTACCTAAACAAGGTTAACTTAACCTAACGTAATCCTAAATTAATCTAAGCTGTAAGCGGATACCTTCTATTTTTCATTTTTAAAAATATATCTACTGCATCATCTAAACTGATTTTTGCAGCAATATCACTTTTTAACCAACAAATCATTTCCCATTACTAAACGTATATAGGTTTTAATTAATTTAAGGGAAAAAAAATATTCATTGGAAGCAGTTGTTACAGGCAAAGTTAAAAAAATATTTATAATTTGATCAGTTTCAATAAAAGCTTCAGGAAGTTCATTTAAAATTTTAGAAATAGAAAAAAGATTATGTATTCCATCATCTCGTTCTTTATTAGAATAATTTAAGTTAATTATGTTAATTAATTTAAGTGTTCTGCAGATAAGGATTCAGTTTGAAGTATTATACTATCAATTTTAAAATTACTATAATGATTAAAGAAAAACAATAGATAGGGACTTTTGAAATTAAAATAATCAGGATTAGAAGATAAGAAGATATTACAAGTAAAAATGATTTCGTTATTGGAATTATTGAAATGATAGTTAAGTTCATTCAAAAATCTAATATTCTTGTAAAAAGCTCATGTGTCTATTTATAGTTTATACCAAATTGGCAATAAATAATTATCTAGTACGCAGTATTTTCAAAATTATAAAAATACGCTTGATTTTTTACAAATAACGGCTTATGGCTAAACGATAACGACCGGCCCTTTAGGATGCTTTTTAATCAGACAGGGGCAAATGCACACCTTGTCCCCCCAAGTTGAATAGGAGATTGGTATTAGGAGTTATATAAACAAAAGGAGATGTTGGCTAGGAAGGTGAGTATATAAGTAAGTTATTTTTAAATTGTTAGGAATTATCAACCTGTCTTCCTCGTCCTTTTCCTTGAGATGCACCTTCAATGATACCAGGTAAATCCAACAACTGAATATTAGCATCCTTGTATTCAATTACACCAGGGATACAAGTTAATGTTGTAAATTCATAAGAAGCTGCTTCACTTTCAGTATGTGTTAATGTACTCAAAAGTGTTGACTATAAAATAAAATATATACTTTAATTATTTTATGCCAGGAACATTTCAGAAGAAGTTCATAATATATAAAAATATTTACATTTATAATTTTTATTTTATAACTTTTTTTGGCTTCTCAATTAGACAATTAAATTATTTTGGTAGTTATTATTATTGAAATATGTAATCAGTTTTTACTTTTTTTTTTTTATTGAAATTTATTAATAATAAAATAATTAATTAATAAAAAATAATGAATGGTTAATACTCGTAAATAAATATATAAATAAATAAACAAGTTGCTTATTTATAGAAATAAATAAATAAAATCTTAGTCTGAAATATTATCTTTATAAAGTATTACCGATTTCAATGTAAAATTTGATAAACAGTAGCAATTTTATTTACTTTGTATAAACCTAATGATGAATTTTTAATTTGAAACCAGTCATACATTACAAATATAATAATACTCCAGGCTAAGCTTTAATTTATTTAAATACTTATTTATTAATACTGTATAAGGAGTTTAAATAAACAAAATCTTTTTTGACACAGAACTATTTCTATTATTATAATATATAGTAAATTATATATGTATGAAAAGTTAAATATTGTTTTAAATTTATAAATATACTTACATTATTCTTTGTAATAACTATTATTTACCTTAATGGTATAGTTTTGAAAAAATTCTAATTTATACATACTTTACCAACAGATGGAAAACCAATCAATGCTACCCTAGCATCACCAGACTTCAAAACATCAAATCCTTCTCCTTTTTCTTGTTTTTTAGATGGTTCCAATAGTGTAGCACGGTACTTAGCTAATTTGGCTTTTAACAAACCCAAGTGATACTCAGTAGCTAAAAATTAAATGGGAATTGTGTTATAATAAAAATTGAATATTTGATGAAATAAATAATTTCTTCAATAAATACAAATTTCGTCAAGGGAAAATAATATTATGGTTTACCTTTATTTTTTTGTGTTCTTGATATTTCTTTTTCGATTTCCGAGATTTTTTCGAGAATACCCATGGTTTAATAAACTCATCAACAGAGAGTATAACCAGAAATATCGACTATTCTCAACTGAATAAAAAAAAATTAATGTATATTTAATTATCGAACCCTAACCTCATCTGCTGTGAAGACTTCAAGACTGCAGACGTTTTTAAATAATCATATCAGAGCTTTCGATGATAAAACTACATTTTATCAATAGATAGTGTTAGATTCCTGATAATAAATATAATCTATAACTCAATAGGATATATATTTATAACATAGACATAATATAATATATTATGTCTATGATTTATAACGATTTAGAGTACTGAGTAGATCTTTACATCTTGGTGCTTATATATCCGAAGCATTGTTTATTGATGTATATATTTACAACTAATAGGCCCATTTTAATATGTTTTATCATAGCTATGAATCTGAAACCAATGAACCTGAGCAGTGTTAGGGACGTTGTGATACTACTGATACTAATAAAGTATCGATACTTTTATTTTGATACAAGTACTTTTTGTATCAATACCATAATTTCGATACTTTACTCATATCGATAAAAAAAATACTTGTATCGAATGAATATTATATTATGAATATTAATCATTTACTAACCAACATATTGGTTTAAAAATCAAAAGTACTCGAATGGTCGAATGGTATCGTACAACAATTTTTTTCTAGTAAAATAGTTTGCGCGCCTGGTGGGGGATTTGTTTACATAGATCAGTCATCGCACTATAGTCTATACTCTATACCAAGGGCCGGGAACCTTTTCGTGTTAAAGAGCAATATTTCAAAAAATTACAAAACTATGATATCCAGGGAGCCGCACAGGTTTGAACAACCTTTTTTTTTTTAATTGTGGCGTATAATTTATTACTTTATTAGTAAATATGATTAGAATAAAGATAATATTATTATTTCATTGAGAAATTGGTAGGCAATAAAAAGTAAACCTAGTAATTCTTCATGAACACCCGTAGACGAAACATACCGTCCCATTAAAGTGAGTTGCGCGGATGTTCTTAACGGCACATGATTCATCACAAGCTAAGGAAAATACAGGTGATGACTTCAGATTGGAAAACTGTTGTTCTGTGATATTTTCAGACATTCTAACAGCTCTATCACGAACAGTAATTGCCGACAACGGAATATCCTTTATTTTATTGATTATTTTTGTTTTATTTTTGAATTCAGAAAACAGATGTTCTGACATACCAGTAAAACATTTTTTAATATATTCCCCAACAATTAACGGTTTTCCAGATTTCATGATTTCGTGAGATACAACAAAACTAGCTGCAGTCAAATTAGACGCTGACTGCAACCAGTTATTAAATTTAGATGTCGATTGTTGAGATTTACGAATCAACTCGGCCATTGCTGTTTTTCTTTTATTTTCCGCTGGGTACGTCTTACCAAAAGAATCGTGTTTAGATAAAAAGTGACTTTCAATATTCGATTTTTTATCGTTTTTGAAGTTTTCGTCACAAATGAGACATTTTAGTTGTCCCATGGTGTTCTGGACAAATGCATAAGTATCAGTCCACTCACTTCTGAATCCTCTATTTTCCTCTTCAATTTTACGTTTTTTGTTTGTAGACATCTTGGAGTTTATAGAAATACCTCTATTGGAAAAATAGCACAAGAAAAAAATACCGAACAACGTCGCACTGATTGAATTGATCTAACGAGAACCGTGCTCACCAACGTCTAATATAATTTTGTATCTACTGCAGTGGTTCTCAAACTGTGGTACTTGTACCCCTTGGGGGTATTTGAGATTTTTAAAGGGCATGAGTTTGGCTAACAAACCTTTAAATTTAAATTATTTACGCGGAAAAGGTTGTTCAAGTTTAAAAGTAAATATAGAAACAAGTTAAATGTTGACGATAATTCAAGGTTGTATTTAACTGAATTAGAACCAAATATTGATCAACTGTGCCTACAGAAACTAGTTAACCCTTCTCAGTAATTTTGCAAGTAAGCTCTTTTTGTTTTTACCATTTTTTGTGTATAGGTTTTTAATAAAATTAAATTGTAATAAAGTTTTTGAATTTTTTTATATTTAATTTAGTTTTCCTAACTAAGAAAGGTACCCAAAAAAGTTTATTGAGAAATTCAGGATTAATATCACTATAATAACGCAGGTATAATATAATTTACATTTTACGGATCTCGATAGATTGATATATATCCAAAGAGCCGCAGGTTCCTGACCTATACCATTATATAGTTATTTCCACGGATCAGAAACCACAGTCCACAATACAATATCAATAGGTTTCCTCTTTGGAACGATTATTCATATTGGTCGTCTTTATATTTTACTTTTATCATTATTTTAATTCGATTCGATACGACGATACGACAAAGTAAAAAGATTAATACTTTTCTTCAGGGCTCGAATTGGGGGGGGGCGCAGGAGGGCGGAGCTCCTCTATTTTTTTTTTTTTTGCGTACCCTAACTATATTTTTTCACCGGAACGGGGGGACGCCACGTTCATCCTAATTGATGTCCAAAATAATTTTTATGTGAATTTCAATTTACGTCAATTTGAAAACGAATTTTACGATTTATAATATTAAAACTGTTTGCATAATTAAAGATTATATGGTGGTTATGATAAGGGACAACGTTATCATTTCTGATGAAATATAAATAGCAATGTCTGTGAATTTGGTGTATTATATTTACTTTTCTATGTACAGTTTGTTATTAATATTGACGATCGGCGATATCGTCATTTCGGAAAAAAATAAATGCCCACACCACATTTAATCTTCTAAGGCCGTAGCCTTCACTAAAGAGTAAAAATAAAAAAAATAAAAACCAAATATATGATTATATCATTCGATTCATGAGACTGCCTGATCGCCTACAATTATGTTAATTATTATTTTATTTTTATTTTCTATTGTATCCTACATGTAGGATGTTGGTATTGCTATCAAAATATATTATATTTGGAATTTAAATATTATGTTAGCTGAAAAGTGGCATTCAAAATATATGTAAGGTTGGCGGAGGGGGGGGGGGGGGTCAGAGACAAAACCCCCCATATGTCTGTGTTAAATAATTGCGCACATGGAACGCAGTTTTCAAATTGTTGGACTGAGCTCCTCTACTTAATTTTTCCCAATTCGAGCACTGCTTTTTTTTCGATACTTACTCATATCCACGGTATTGGAAGATATATTTTAAGACCATGCTCATATCGGTCCTTTTCTTTCGATACTTTATTCGTTTCGATATTTTACTCATATCGGTATTTTCATTTGATTTGATACCAAGTAAAAGTATCGATGCTTATCTTTCGATACCACGTCCCTAAGCAGTGTATTAAATTTATTCTGTGGGTGTACTATTTGATAAGAAAACCAGTGGATTCCAAAATATATTACTTAGAAGAACAGTTATTGCTTATCATAAATTTATGCATAGAGTTGCACAGGGGCGGACTGAGAGTACTTCGGCCCGGGTGAAAAAGATTTGAGCGGTCCACTTTTTTTTGTACGATCAAAAAATTTGCAGCTCGCTATGCTCGTTTATCATAGGCTAAAATCTCCTAAAAGGATGTTTAGCACGAATCTAGGACATTTGACACCCAATAATAGAACAATTGACACAGAATATAAATTCATATAATAAAATACAGTATAACAATTAATAATCATACTACATGTATAAATATATTTTACATTACATTTTACATTTATATTATAAATTATATTCAAATTTAACATTTAATTACATATGATAGGTACGTTTTTTAAAAAACTAATAATTTCAGTGTTTGTGTTGAAGCAAGAAGTTTTACCCATATTTTTAAGCCTTTCTTCATTCATCAAGTCCATCAACCACTTCTTTTGGAAAAACATAAATTTAATTTTTAATAATTAATTTATTATTAATTATTTCAATTTTATCTCATGAATCTGAGTTCATATTGAATGAATAGCTTTTAAATTAAACTAACAGACTATAGAGTACAGGCACTAAATAGTAACTAATAGCATTGATTATATAAATGTATATTTTATCAATGTTAGTAACTTAAAACTAATTTGTTTCTGTTTATTTTAATATTTGTTTTAAAGATTTGGCAAAGTATTTAAGATTTATGAGGAGTGTGAGTGTCAAAGCCCCCTACGGGTTACTGATAAGTTAATTTTGAAGGGATTTAAGTACACCCAGAATACTAAATGGATTTGTACTTATGTCGCTTATGATTGGCCAAGCCCGGATTATGATAATTTGGGGCCCGGGGCCAAACAATTTTAGAGACTCATAACCATAATCAAAATAGTGATGACCCACACATAAATATATTTCAGAGACAAAAAAAAATTTTATTCTAATTTATAAATTTATTTCTTGCTTTTATTAATACAAAAAATAAAAATGTTATTTATATAAATAATTTTTTCTTTCTTTTTGGGAAGCAAACCCTTTAATTATATCATCGGTATTAATTACCTCTAAAATATTACTTTCTGAACACAAAACCATAATACTATATACTATTTTATACTTGTTTTTTATACGACCTAAAAAAAGAGTTATAAAACTAAAAATCCACCATGCTCCTACTATTTTTTGATATTCGTTATAGACCCGGGACCATGACCCCCTCTGCCCCCCCTTAATATGGGCTCGTGATTGGTAAATTTAACAGCTTCTACGTATATTAATAACGACCCTAGATGGCTAGATTTAGTTTTTTTTTATGTCAAATATAATTGCAGTACAAACATTCATCATATACATTATTACCACAAAATAGTGAATTCATAATTTTCGCATAAATAGCTTATAATAATAATACAAGTATAATAGGTAACAAATGAATAAATGAAATATCAAATGCTTATTATTTAAATTTAAATTTATAAAATCAACATTTGATGCATAATGGTGGATGATTCTTTTAAATATTTGACGACTTCCGACACATTTATTTCATCCAACAGCTCTTTTTTTACCGACATTAAAAGCAGAGATTCCAAATTTTCTTCATTTAAATTGGATCTTAATCTAGTTTTAATGAGTTTCAGTTTACTAAATGTACGTTCACAGATAACTTCTATAACTGATAGTAAAAAAAAAAAAAATGCATACGCTTCGTATAATGTAGTATAAGTAAACAGACGTAAATTTAATTTATACATGAAACTTAGACACAATGCAAGCAATTTTTCTTGTGGTTACAGTAAACTGCATTACCTGAAACCATAAACAAAAATCTTATTGATCATGATTAAATAAACATTGTAAATAAAACGAATATTTACACTATCAATCTTACAAAGAAACGTATTTTTATAGATCCCATCAACTTCTTTGTTTTCTAATTCGATTTTCATGTCACTTTTCTCTTCGGTTTCGGAGTATATTAATTTTGTTTTTTTCTCTATTAGATTAGACATGTTTGGATAGACTTTTGAAAATTTTCGAATTTCCAGTTTTAATTGATCAAGATCTATACTTGCTAGAGATTACTAAGTATATTAGCAAAATGTAGGTATATCTTCGATATTAGAAGTAAATAATAATATTATGTAAAAGAATTCGTGCTCCAGGATAGTGTATTTGCATGTTATTATCTATTATTGTTATTTTAGTAACTATAGCATAATTTAATATTAATTATAATATAATATATTTTAAGTGCACCGCGATGAAGGGGCCTTTCAAGACAGCAGCCCCGGTGGATTTCTCCCACTCTCCACCTGGGCCAGACCGAAGTTACATATCCATAAAAATGTAATGCTAATGTTAAATTTTTTATAAATGTCTACTAAAATATATTACATATCTATATTATTATTATTCGTAAATTTTACTTAAAATGTTACAAATCAATAATTTTTTCTTAAATTTAATTTCAATTTACTGTGCAATAATGTAAAAAATGTTGAAAACCACTGCACGTTTTTATTTAATATTGCTATCAGAATTTCTTTACATTAGGTATGTTGCTGGTGCAAGACCAGATTATACTGATAACAGTTATTTTAATTATTTAAAGTTAACGTTCAATATTGACTGTGTTGTATGTTGTTGTATCAATTTTTAATTTAAATTATTTATTTATTTTAATTTAAGATAAAATCAGTGCTTTTTAAATGTAAATAAAAAAATTTAATTGAATGTTTCGAAGAAAAATTCAAATTCATTTGTCTAAAAATGTGTTAGATTTATATAAAAATGTGTATCAAATACATTTTTGTGAGTACTCAAATCAAAAAGTAAATGGTAGGATGAGAGTCTTGAATGTTGCTGAAAAAAATGATGCTGCAAAAAACATTGCTGGCCATTTGTCTGGTGGCAATCTTCAAAGAGTAATTTTACCATCTATTTTATTTAAAAAAGACTTGTACTTAATTGTTTCATTTTTGTTCAATTTCAGAGAGAAGGTTTTTCAAAATTTAATAAAATATACGAATTTAGTCATAGTTTTCAAGGGACACCCAGCACAATGATTATGACATCAGTGTCTGGTCACCTACTTGGATATGAATTTCAAGGATCATATCGTTCATGGAGTTCATGTTCTCCTCTTGAATTATTTGATCTTCCTGTAGTTAAAGAATGCCCTAAAGATTATTTAGATATCAAGGTTAGATTATTTTTCATATTATAAATTATTTTTATGCAAATGTATACAAATTAAGGACATATTATGTGTCTAATAATTTGGTTTAAATATGGCTAAATTGATCAAATGTTCTATTAATTATAAAATTGGTTTCTTAACATTTATTGATATAAGTAAAATAATGTTTGTTTACATTTTTTTTTCTCCTACATTGAAAATAAAGCTAGAAATTATTTGCTTGCTCTGCTTTTGAGGCTAAATGCCTAATTTTAATTAGTTCTTAATACTCTTAATATTTATTTTAATCTTCACTCCATTTTTACCACTAAATCAATAACTGCTATTAAAATTATAATCTTATTCATTTTGGAAGCTGGCTTTCTTATTTAATTCATTTATAGTATTTTTTTGTTTTTTCTGTATTCATTATTTTGTAAATGTTGAGTTATCATAGTTAACTTATAGCTAATAATAATAATATTAAAAAAATCCAGAAATGATGGTGATAATTATGATCTATAAGAAAAGGTTTTTAATAACAAATTCTAATTTCTTTATTATAATCACTTGAAAAACTAGTTATCATTTCAAAATAATTAAAAAGACTTACTGTAGATAGTTCAGATGCATTTACTCATTTGTAATGCAAAAATGTTAAGTTATTTTTAAATGTTGTGTGCAGTATTATGTATATAATATAACCTATAAGATTAATAGTATGAGTTTGTATAATATAATTTACAATTATTTTATATTTTGGTTTAATTATAGAAAACACTGGAACGTGAAGTTCGATCATGCAATGCCTTAGTAATATGGACTGATGCTGATAGAGAAGGAGAAAATATTGGGTTTGAAATAATTGATGTTTGTAGAGAAGTTAATCCAAGAATTGATGTTTACAGGTAAGTGTATTATTTATTTTATTCAACATACTATACTGCTACTTGAATTCTAATAATGTTTTTTGAAAGAATTAATTTTACTACTTGAAAAAATTGTGTATATCTGTTAATTTAAAATCATTTTTTTCAGAGCTATATTATCTGAAATAACTAGACCATCAGTACAAAGGGCTATTACTAACTTAGGACCTCCGAATAAAAATGTCAGCGATGCAGTTGATGTGAGAAGTGAATTAGATTTAAGAATTGGTTAGTCATACTACCTATTATTTCTTGTATTTTTTTTTAATTTGGTAATTTTTATTTATATCAGGTGCAGCATTTACTCGTTATCAAACAATGCGTTTACAAAAAGTGTTTCCTGATATATTAGCTAAAAGTTTGATAAGTTATGGAAGTTGTCAATTTCCTACATTAGGATTTGTTGTTGAACGGTATAAAGATATTCAAAACTTTATACCTGAACAATTTTGGAAAATAAAAGGTATTTAATATTTATAATTAGTTTTGTTAAATGTTTATTTAAAGTTAGTTGTTAAATGTTGATTCATTTCTTTATAAGTATATATCCTTAAATTTTAGTTAATCACAAAATTGAGAATTTAGATGTAGAATTTTCTTGGCAACGAGTAAGGTTATTTGATGAAACTTTTTGTAGAGTTCTTTTTGAACGCTGCCAGGAAAATCCAACTGCTATTGTATTAAAAGTAACTAAAAAGCCTAAATCTAAATGGCGACCAGTACCTCTAGATACTATTGTAAGTAATTACAATTATGAATATTATTTTATTACTTGGAAAAATGAATGATAATTAAGTTTTTTTTTAATATACAGGAGTTGGAAAAAGCTGCTAGTCGTAAACTTGGAATAAACGCTAAAGAAACTATGAAGATTGCTGAAAAACTGTATAGTCAAGGTTTTATAAGCTACCCTAGGACTGAAACAAATATATTTCCTAAAGAATTAAACTTATCAAATTTAGTTCAGTTGCAAACAGAGGATAACAATTGGGGTGGTAAGTATTTAATTTTTAAAAGTAAATATTAATGATAATAATAAAATTACTTCTATAATTTAATTTTCAAAACTGCGTATCTATATTTATGTATATATAATATTTTTTATTAAGAATAACTTTTTTTAAAATTTAATCAAATAGTTTGTGCTGTCTTTAAATTGTATTATTTATCTTAAAGTATAACTTTATCTATGTATAAAAAGGTATGGCTTGAGTTTAATAAAATATTTTATTAATTAAGTTTGGTTAGATATCCAAAATTATGGTTTGCTAAATTTACTATAAAAATAAATTTTTTCTAATACATGTACAATTAATTTTTTAGATTTTGCACAAACAGTTTTAAATGATGGGCCTTCTCCGAGACAAGGAAAAAAGACTGATCAAGCTCATCCTCCAATACATCCTACTAAATATACACAAGGACTTCAAGGTTTGATTTATTTTAAATGATTTTGTGTAAAAATAAGTATAAACATCAATAACTGTTTTAGGTACTTGTTTGTTATCGCCCCGCCAGTACACCGTATAAAATTTATCGCCCCGCCACTCTTGTTTGTTATCGCCCCTCCAGTATATCGCATAAAAATTATCGCTATTGCTAATCGTTTGTGATCTATTTTAGAAAATGAGAAAACTACATTTTATCATTTTTATGATACAGAATATTAGTTTGTTGCTGGCATTCGTTTACCATTTAATTTACTTATTACCTACTACTGAGAAATTCGAAAAAATTAATTTAATACGTTAAAATGAATTTTACTGAATTACTTACTATTGTTTCAAATAGTGATACTGGAATTAGCTTTTTACAACAACATAATATAATTAAAGTTAGTGAAGTGTGTGAAAATGGCCATATAATGTTTATCAAGGGATCGCGATGGCGATGTCAGAAAAGAAGTTGCCGAAAGGAAAAAGGATTAAGAATTAATAATTGGCTAACTGGTTCTAGACTACCAATACATACAATTGTCCATTTTATATACTACTGGGCCCGAGAAATGTCTTCAGTAACATTTTGTAAACGTGAACTAAATATGGGACAAAATGCTGTGGTTGATTGGAGTAATTATCTACGTGAGGTATGTGTATGGAAGCTTGAAATTAATCAAAATAAAGAAATTGGTGGTCCCGGTCTTTTTGTTGAAATAGATGAAAGTTTATTTGTGCGTAGAAAAAATAATGCTGGGCGTATTCTGCCACAACAATGGATTTTTGGTGGAATATGTCGGGAAAGTGTGTTTTATAATCAGTGTACCAGATCGGTCGGAGAAAACATTGTTACCTATAATACAAAGATATATAAGACCAGGCTCAATAATTTTGTCAGATTGTTGGAAAGCTTACAATAATTTGCAGCAAGTGGGATTCAAACATAATACTGTAAACCACACGTATAATTTTGTCGATCCGGACACAGGGGCTCACACTCAACATATTGAGAGATTGTGGGGTTCTGCTAAATGGGGCAATAAAAAGCGTCGAGGAACTAACAGAAATTTTCTTGAATCATATTTGGCAGAGTTTATGTGGAGAACACGTCTCGGAGAACAAGACGCATTTGAAACTATCCTCAAAGATATTTCCGAATTCTGGCCTCCATTATAACTATAGATTCATAATATATTTTCTACATATTTTATATTTTATACGTTTTTGAATTTAAATTTTATACTATACATTTATATATTTTATATGTTTTCTACATATTTTATATTTTATACATTTTTGAATTTAAATTTTATACTATACATTTATATATTTAAAACTATTAAAATAAAATAAAATAATATTATACATTGAAATTTTTTTTTATTTATGGAGGGGCGATAACAAACAAGAGTGGCGGGGCGATAAATTTTATACGGTGTACTGGCGGGGCGATAACAAACAAGTACCCTGTTTTATTTATTTACATGTTACAAAAGTTATTATAAATTATTCAAATATTGTCTATATTAAATTATTTTTACATTAATATCTGTTTTATGAGTTTCCCAATTATTAACTAAAATAGAATTTATTAATTTATTTTTAATTTATACACTTCTTCTTGAGTCCATCTTCCAAAAGCAGAAGCTAAGTGACTCTTTAATTGACGTTGGCAACAATCCCTTTTCAGCGCTCTTGATTTTCTCCCAATCTAATGGCATTTCCTAGAGGATAGCCAGTGAAGGTCTTGGTCTAGTCTATCCAGTGGTTTGGTGTTCTTCCACTCCTTTTATTCACAATCTTTCCTTTAGTTATCAGTTTCATCAGACTCGATCCCTCTTATAATATGGCTAAAAAACCATGTAATCCTTTGCTTGCATATCACTGCCAGACTTATTTCCACTTTTAGCATACGAGGATTGGGATATTAGTCCTACATATAGTATTATAAACTTAAAGATAAATATACATTAATATTTATAAACAATATATTAACCCTTGGGTTAATTATACTTACAAAAATACTTGTATATTTTATTTTTACATAATTTTTAAAAACATATCTAAGTATACTTATAATCTGTCTATGACATTTAAAACATAAAACTAATTTATTAGTAGAGTAATATCATTGAAGAGATTTAAATGATTAACTTGAATTAGACATTTCTCAAATGATTTACTTTTCCACTAATTACTTTAAATAATCTAAACTCATGAATAAAATAAAAATTAAGGAATATTTAGAAATTGTTGGGAAATGTTAATAGGTGTGTATGGTATATTAATATGTATACTTTTTTTTAGATAGAGAACGTAAAGTTTATGAATATGTAGTTAGACATTTCTTAGCTTGTTTATCTAAAGATGCAGAAGGAGAAGAAACTATTGTAAATATTGAAATAAATGATGAAAAGGTATTCATTTTATTTAGATTGTAATCTTAAATAGCTTATATTTAGCTCTGCAAATAATTTTTAAAATATTTTTGTGAACATTAATTATAAATTTTGAAAATTGTCATTATTTTTAGTTTTTAGCTAATGGACTTCGAATTATAGCCTTAAATTATTTGGAAGTCTATCCCTATGATAGATGGTCTAATAAACAGATCCATAATTACCATCAAGGTCAATCATTTATGCCCACTGGATTAGAAATGACCGATGGATATACTTGTGCCCCTAATCTTCTTACTGAAGCTGATCTAATTTCTCTAATGGATAAGCATGGCATTGGTAAAACAACTCTTTATTAAAAAAACATTGTACTTGACGAAACTGTAATTAGGCTAATTAAAAAATATAGTATGAATGTAGTACATTTTATTAATGTAAGCTTCATTAATTAAAATAATTGTACATAATTTATCATTAAGGATATAACCAATTTATTATGTCTTCATGACAATTATTCTAGTAATTATTTTAATTAGAGCTATTGTGATAGGTACTGATGCTACACATGCAGAACACATTGAAACTATTAAATCCCGTTTGTATGTTGGATTAGAAAATAATAAATACTTCATTCCTGGTGAACTGGGAATTGGTCTTGTTGAAGGATATGATAATATGGGTTTTGAAATGTCCAAACCACATTTAAGAGCTGAACTCGAAGCAGACTTGAAAAAGTAATGACTATTAACTAAATTATTAAGCATTTAGTTTTATATTAAAAAAATTACATGTTTCAATTTATAGAATATGTGAAGGAATTAAATCACCAGTAATGGTACTAAGAGAACAAATAGCTAAATATAAAGAAGTATTTATAAAAACAACAGAACAAGTATATAATTTATTTTATTTTCTAAAAAAATTTTAAATTGAAAAATATTAGAAATCTATTTCACTATATTTAAAATTAATATTTAATTTTAGGTAGAAAAATTAGACCAATCTTTGGGAAAATATTTAAGAGCTCAACCTGTTGCTTTCCAAAATAATGGTCAACATGAATCGATGTTTAGAAAAAATATTCGAAAGTGTCCTTCCTGTAATCAAGCTGTCCTAGCATTAAAACAAAAGCAAAATAATCAAGGATTTTATATCACATGTCTTGGATACCCAGCTTGTAGAACTACATTTTGGTTACCTCCTACTGTAGTTAATGCAGAAGTCACTGATAATGTTTGTAACCAGGTACTTCATTACATACAAATTAAGATCATTTTTTTTTTAACATGTAAATGTCGTACATTTTATTTGATTCATAAAATTTGTTTAGTGTCCTGGAGATATAAAATTAATTAAATTTCAATTCAGTGTTAGAAGTATGCGACCACATTATCAAGATATTCATGAAGGTTGTATTAACGGGTGCGATTCTACAATATGTGAGATACTTGGTGTTAATATATCTCGGCCTTCGCCTTCCTCTTCAAATACTCACTCTAGTAATAGAAATGTAACATCAAGTCAAAATAGAGGTAAATTTGTTTTTATTCATATGCTCGCACTTATTATTGATTTTACATATTAAATATTATTGATAATTGTAGGTCCTGTTCGAGAAAACAATATTCCTCGTCCAACAAATAATATTCAAAGGACTTCTATTATTCAACCACTTAATGGTATATATAAGAATCATACATACTATTTATTACATTAAGGTTGCTAAAAATTAGTAAAGATCTATAAATATATATGCATTTTGTAAACTAATATAATTTAATGACCAGTAATTGACATAATAAAATAACTACTTACTTTCGGTTTCTTTAATTAATTCTTTAAATTAATTAATTAATTTCATATTATGGTACATTATTAATAACAAATAAATAACTTCAAATGAATTTTTTTAATAACAGATTAATGTGTTATTATACATGGATATGTAAATACATGTATTTCATATGATATATATATATATTTCGATGTACTATTGTAATTTTAATGTTTGTATACATTAGTTTTTAAAGTTGAATTATTGTATGATCTTATATAATTGATTTAATCATTGTTATACTATTAAACAAGTATTATTTAAACAAATTGATTGTTTGATTCCTTATTTATAGATCAAGTTTGCTGCCAATGTGGTGATGGCGCCAAACTGTAAGTACTTATTCTGTATTAATATGTTTGATATACATAGTTAATGTCTTGATACTATGAGCTAGAAATATAATGCTAAAATAATAATTGTTCCTCAATTTCCTTTTTAAACAAATTATTTTAATTGTTTTAATTAACACTTTTTAAGTTCTATAGTTTCTTAATTATTGATGTATTATAAAATCAATTTGCATAATTATTGATTTATCATTATAGATTAACAGTTACCAGGGAAACACCTAATAAAGGACGTCAGTTTTACGGATGCTCTAAGCCAATTTCTGCACCTGATAGGTGTAATTTCTTCTTATGGGCAGATGATCAACCTGTGGCTACTGGTCATCAAGCTCAATTTAACAATAGATCTAATACTCAAAACAATAATAGACCTATGAATAATTCATACAGAGCTAGACCTGGAAACAGTAAATTTATTTTTAAGTTTATTATTTTAGATAATTTACATAAGTTATTTATGTTTGTAGATCAATCAAATTCTGGACAAAGAAAGTGTGGACTTTGTAAGCAAACAGGTAAATTAGAGAAATTCAGAAGTATATTTTATTGATTAAAGTTATTTTATATTATAGTATTAAACATATTATTAATTTTTTAAGGTCACACAAGAAGAAACTGTCCTAGAAATTAAAGCTATGATCAAGAATTTTTAATGCAATTTCAATTTCCACTTATGTGTTCTGTTCTTTATGTCTTTAATAATTTATATTTATTATAAATTATATATTTCAGTGTTTATGTATAAATACCATTTATAAAATACTAACATTCATTAAAAAGTCTAATTCAAAATATGTGATTTATATTTTGCTCATTATAATAAATGGACTATTCTAATTGGATTAGCTGATTGTGCTTTTCTATGGATAAGGACAGAATACTAATTGTGTCATGATGCGTCATTTTATTAAACACTATATGTTAATGTTAAAATATATGAAATATTTAATTGCCAGATGTAAGAAATTGCATAATTATGAATAGATGTTGTCCCTTCCTTCTATATTTCATAGTGATATTAGTATTTATAAAAAATAGATCTGAAAATATTATTTAATAAAACCTTACAAAATTGAAATTATCTTCCATCATTCTATTTAAATGTAAATTTCAATATATATATGAAAAATATTCTTAACTCATTATAGTATTAATGATTAAAGAAAAATATTATTTCCAGAGGCGGACAGGCCCGCCAGGATTTTCCCGGTGGACTGCTGCTTATATTGACGAAAATGGGCCAATGAAAAATATTACTACTAATACTATTCATGTACAAAGTGGCGGATTATACATTTTTTTTGCCACGGGGCAGTTTTTTCCAGAGCTGGTCAGATTATGCCTATCCACCCTTGATTACTTTATACTTGCAATATTTATCATTATTTTCATTAATAATTTCAAATGAAAACTTTCAGTTTTTAAAAAAATAAAAAATAATTTATTGGCATAATAAAATATACAATATATGGATTTGATATTCTTTTTGGTACAATAAAAACAATTTATAAAATACAACTTATACATAATTTAGTAATAGTTTTGGTAGTTGATCCCTTAACCGGAAAAATCAACAACCATACTTTTAACAAATTAGATAAATAAAAGTGATGTACAAACCAATAGTGAATGCTAAAGTTCTGTTGTTATTTCATCTTGTGGTCTGAAACCAAGAGTGAAGAAATCATCCTCATCAGTAGTAGTTGAGTAACAATTATAAGGTGGCATTTCAGCATTCCATTCAGCAACTAACATACTTTTAGATGCATTTGCTTCTAACAAGGAAAGAGAAGCGGGACTAGTGGATCGACCAAAACTTGATACAGTCTTATCTCGTAACATGATCACCTCGTCATTCTCATCTGGATGTCTGTTTATAAAATTAATATATTTTATATAAAAAACAGATAACATAATATGTATGATAGTATATCAATGTTAATATTAATTTACCTGTTGTGATCATTATAGTTATCATCAAAAACTGAGATTGCAAGTTGTTTAAAACGAGACGGTGATGATGAAGAAGCTGATAATGGCCTGTGTCTTTTACTATTTGTAAATGTAGTTAACTGAATTGGTTTGTCATTAAAATGCTCAGTATTAGTTTGAGTAATCTGTAAATATTAATAATTTATACAACATGTAGAGATGAAAACAAAAATATTACACTTAAATAAAATGTATACCATAATAGGATGTTGCTTTTTGTATCTTCGTAGAACTCTATCACCCCAAGCCAATAAAATTTCCCAGTCAGTAGGAGGATTTAAAAAACAATCTTCTTTGTTAAGTAATATTAAAATTCTAGATAAGTCTTTTAAAACAGGTCTGAAATTAAAAAAAAAGTTTTTTAAATAAATTATGCAGTTATAATAACAATAAGATACATACCGATATGCTTGTATTGCAGAATGTTGTCGGGTAGGCCCTCGAAGTTCTCGTACCTGTTTTCTAGTTTCATTTAACATTGACAAAAACACTGGTGCTTCAGGTCTTAACTTTTCCAACTGTTTGAAAAACTCTAATCGATCACAGTCATCACTTTCTACATACCATAATAATTAATTCATAGTAGTAAAATAAAAACTTAATATTTAAAATAAAAAAAAAAGTGACAAACCTTGACTTCGGTGAGAACCACTATTCAAAGGTCCTAAACTTGGCGACATACGAGATTTTGATCTAAGATTAGAACATTTTTTAAATTTGACCACCATTCCTACAATTATTAAAATAGTTGTAACTATAAGAACTCCGATGACAACACCAATAGCGATTGCAACAACTTGACCTGATAGTCTAATACTACCAAAGAAGATATTATCTAAAAACCACAATTGTAATAATAAATATTAAAAGAAATGTTTGAATAATTATGTGTATGCAAACCAGTTAATGAGCACACACGGCCCATTTGATGATCATTTGTAGACCATGAGTGTTCGTAGCCTGACGGACAAGTTTCAGCGCATTGACCTGTAGCTACAATCAATACCTTTCTGCATTTCTTACAAATGCCATCGACATCACATTTCAGACAATCTGAACGCGATTCATTACACTTTTCTGGTGCACCGGTACTGTCTGGAAAAATAATGATTCGTACTGTTAGCGAAAACGAATAAGGTAAAAGAAATGGTACAACAATCGACCTGTCTGCGTAAGAATACACCGTCTCGGCTATGATCAGAATCGAAACGATTACCAGTTGTATTTTTCTCGGAATCCAACTCATAATTTCCTCTCATGGTCATTTCCCGAAATCTGGATGGTGAGCGCTCATAGTCGGTGACGCGAAAACGTTTCACGCCGTCATCCGAATGCTGTGTTTGCGAGGAAACAACAATATCCGGACGAATTCCGTTGCCCACAACGTTCAAAAAAAAAAAAAAAAAGAAAAAAGTAAAACGAAATCTGACAAACGGATCCGAGCGTAGCAGCAGCAGTAGTAGTAATTAGTATGTAGTAGATGGGCACAGCGCACTGTTCGTCGGTTGTCGTGAATATTATTATATAAAAATATTATTCGTAATGCGGAAAAAAAAATATAACGTAGGCACGGGCACAACAATCAACACATCCTACATACTAGTATTCATCTCTCGCTATCTACCGCTCCGCTCGCATTCTACATATTGTCGACGGGGACCGTCTCTTTCATACGCACACGCACATAATGTATCGCGTATATACGTATGTTGTGTATATGTACATGACACATGCAATGCGATTTATCATTTATCATTCGTACGTATGCACACCACGGACGTATATATATACATAATAATACACACAGATCCCGCGAGAGATGTTTTTGTTTTCTTCTCACCCCGCATCTGTGCTCGACCCGTGCAGTTTCACAGCCGCTCGGTGTTGGTCACACTGGACCATCACCGCCGGACGGGCACAAACGGCGGTGGCGGCAGCCCAATGAAACCCGCGAACATCGCGCGAGCGGTTCAAATCTTTTTCCTACGCCCGCGCACTTCCTGCTTCACCGTTCGCGGCTCGGCTCGTCCGCCCAACCAAAGAATTGTTATCAATCCGATTGTAATAATCGAATCCACGGGCTGATAACAGGATGCGATGTCCATCGGTGATAGCGAATGAAGTCCGTTGTTCGTACTCATTACCCCTTCGGTTTGTTGTGCGCGACGGCCGTCCCGTTTTACCTTTTTCCCGGTCCGGAGCACACGTAACCGATTTTTTGCACTTATAACTGTAGTACGTTTTTCCATTAGAGTCCGCAGTTTTCTTTCAATCTTTTTGACTATGGAGTGATCTGTAGGCATATCATACCTGTGTGGATAATACGTGTACGATATTAATTTCTGTAGAACTGTGATCATGACGTCCACAGAGCCAATGAGTCTGAGCAAAACTTGGGAACTGTCGTTGTATGAACTTCACAGAACGCCGCAAGAGGCGATCACGGATAGCACGGAAATCGCCGTGTCCCCTCGGAGCTTGCACAGCGAGTTAATGTGTCCTATTTGTCTAGATATGCTCAAGAAGACCATGACTACTAAAGAATGTCTTCATAGGTCGGTAATTGGTATTTACTATTATAAACTGCGTGCAGTCGGTTAGAAATCAATTTAAATCGCTGTGATATGTTTGTTTTAGATTTTGTTCAGACTGTATTATTACTGCTCTTCGTTCTGGTAATAAAGAGTGTCCTACTTGTCGCAAAAAATTAGTGTCTAAACGTTCATTGCGCCCAGATCCGAATTTTGATCTGTTGATCTCAAAAATCTACCCTAGTCGTGATGAATATGAAGCACACCAAACCAGAGTATTAGAAAAATTAAATAAAAGTCACAGTCAAGCAAATTTAGTGCAATCTATTAATGAAGGCATTAAAATTCAAACACAAAATAGATTGCAACGTACTAATAAAAAGAATCAACAAGATGAACAAAACGAGAGTGGTTCTTCGTCTACACCTAAAACATCTTCAAATAATATAGGACCCAGTAAAGATAATGTCACGAGAACTGTGGTTCAAGCAAAGGTAGCTAAAAAGCTTAAAACTGTAATGATTTCTGAAAATGATGGTCCGGTATCGTCATCAGCTGATAGATCAGATATCACTGAGTGTGATGGTTCATCTAGAGGAGTAACTTTAGATGAAATTGAATTGGTATTTAAACCTCATCCAACTGAAATGGGTAGTGATAATCAATTGATTAGAGTTTTGAAAGAGAATTCTATTCGATATATTAAAACTACAGGCAATGCTACAGGTGATTATATATATATATATATATATTTTTAAATTTACTGATAATATAGTCATTTAAATGTTGATGTCTCCATAAATCTATAAAAAAATTTAAATTAATAAGAAAAATAAATAATCATACTTAAAAAACTAATTTTAATTTTTTAAAGTAGAAAAATTAAAATTCTTGTTTTATTTTTCTACAATTTAATCTAATTCTTATATTATTTGTTATTTTAATGTGAAATATATTTAAAATATTTCACTTGTATTTTTCTTGATATAAAATTTCCAGTTTAAAGTATGTAATCCATTTTTATAAAATATTTTGTGTCCCTACATAAAATTGGTAATTTATTTGAGAATAACTAATTTATTTAAAATTTGTTTTTCTAGTTGATCATTTAAGCAAATATTTAGCAATGCGACTTACATTGGACCTTGGTTCAAAGATTCCAGAACGATCGTTAAGTTTTTTAATATATGTTGCTCCAACTACGGATCAATTTGTTCCATTAAGTGGAAATCAAACTTTACGACAAGTCCATGATAAATATTGGAAAGTGAACAAACCATTAGAAATGTTTTACTCATTTACCTAAATCAGTTAAGTATATCTAATATAATTTGTAATTAAAATATATTTTACTAATTATTTTGAATTTGACCAAAATAAGAAAGTGGTTAATTTAATTTTAACTCAAAGTTATAACCTACAAATTTGTATAATTTATAATATTTAAAATTTTGTGTGTCAAAAAAGTTTCAGATTTATGAAGATAGAAAAGTATGATTTAATAGTAGAATAGATCTTTAGTAGTTAAGCTTAAGATCTTTTGAACCCTTAATCTTGTCTTGTGTGTAGTTATGGTTATAATTTATTTAATATAACTTTCAAACCTCTTTTCTTCTATTCGCAGATAGTCCAATTTTATTAATCTTGAGCAATTTAGTTATTTTTCCATCTAGGCTTTTGTCTTAATATTAATAAGTGCAGAGTAATTTTTTCTTCAGCTCCAGAATTTTTTTTAAAAATCTGTACATACTTAATATTGTCCAACTATAACGCATTTCCATTATCAAAGACTGATATTAATTACTGATATTACACTCTCTTATTAGCTATCATATTGATGTTTGTACATTGAAGCTGTGAAGGTTTAGATTTTATCAAGCGTTGTACAATAGTCCTAAATTCTTTAAATCAGTGAATTATTCTTTATTTTTTGTTCTTGTTCTTTTTATTTTAGACTGTTATTTGGCATCTTTACCTTGTTCATCATAAATTATTATCCTCTGTCACTTTCGAGTTTACCTTACCTTCATAACATTAAAAGTACTAAATTTTGAATATACCTTCTTGCTGTTTGAACAGTGCTGTCTTTGAGTTTTTATCATTTTTCTAAATAATTTAATTGATGCTCCAGACATTCTCTTCCATGTTTTAATTTATTGTATTTATCTATCAATACTTTATTTCCAAGTGGCCTTGTAGAACTTAATAAAGCTATTTTAGATGTTATTAAATAGCTGGATGATGTAGATATAATAAAACTTACCTATTATAAATTTTACCAAATATTTATATTACCCACTTGAAGTTCAATTTTATTACATAATTTTTTTGTTAGTTTTTATATATTTTACTTTTATCATTGATATGATTATTCTGACCTTTCAAATAAATTATTGAATAACTTTATCGATTGTATTTGAAAATGCCATTTAACTTTAAAATATAAATAATGCATCTAAGGATCTTTTTCTGACAAAGCTTATACTACATTTTGCTTTCTATCTTTACAATTTAATGTCTTTAAACTCCCCACTCACTTTTTCAATTAGATCTTTTACACATAAATTTAATTTTTTAAACAAACCATTGAGTTATTTTGGGTGCTGAATCATGCTGGTATTGTAGGGATTGAAATGACTTACTGACTGGTTATTTCTATAATAAATATAGTTATTCCCTGATTTCATATTTTCAATTCTTTCCAATTCTCCATTAAAATCTAAAAAAAGGCAAGGTGTGGCCTAATTCCAGCATTTTGCTTTCTAGTATATATCCATTTCTTCTTACATTTCAAATTTCCACTAATTTAGTTACCTTATTGCTTTGACCATAATCTTCTTTTTTCTTAATCATTATGTCTTCTTAATCTCTCTGCCTTCTCAATCTCTTTTTATCGGTCTCTCCTATACAATATCATTTGTTTCTTAGTACATAAATGTAATAAAATTTTAATAATGTAATGGATTTTCTAATTTGTCAAAAGAAGAAATTAAATTAAAATAGAAAAAAATATTAATGTATTATTATTATTTATTGAGTTATAAATGTTTTAGTTATATATTTGTTTCTATTTATAATATTGTATTAAATATATTTACTAACTAGATGTTTCTTTTTCTAAAATTGTAATAAGCTTGAATCAATTAATTAATATATTTATTTATTATTGGTTTTCTAAAAAACTTGTATTATATAATAAGTAACAACAATACACAGCATTAAAAAATCTGTGAATTTTTATGTAATATATATCAATATGTCAATATAAAATAATGGTGTTTATGAGTTATTTGCATTTTTTTAGTATATATAATTTGCTATTGTAGTTATAGTCCATTATATTATATTGTATTTAATACAATAATAATAGTGTTTCCATCAAACAAATTGTTTAATATTGCATTAACAAATCTTTAATATTGAACATATAAGCACAGGTTATTGATTCTTTTTTGTTTATATTATGATGTATGTGGTTTCATATATTTTATTTTTATTTATTATAATTTATTCACAGAAAATAATTTTAAGCAAATAAAAAACCTACTCGGAAATAAATGTACTGAAAAAAACCAATAAAACACTTTTTAGTGATTTTATCAGCATCAAGCATATTCTACCCTTTTTGTATTGTTTTAAAATGCTATATTGATTTAAATTATATATTTTATTACTAAAATACCTATAATTTGAACTGGTTCATTTTTTATATTGACTACGTTTTTATGAAGACATTTTTAAATATACTCTTCTGACATTGTCAGAACTAGAATGTCAAGGTCTAACATTGTCATGAAATTTAAATATTAATAAAAAAAAAATAATAATAATAACACAAGCAAAATGCTATTTTATTTTAAAATATGCATATTTATGTAAAAAATCTCAAATTGTACAAAATCATGAAAACCAAATTTTAATTTTTGAACTCGTTAGGTTGTGATTGATATTTGTAGCTCAACTTTTTGATGCGCTCAGTAAAAACATGCAAATGCATGAACGTTTGGGTTCTATACATAAACATGCCTGTTACCATGTAATATAATGCATAATTCATATAATGTAATATATAATCTAAATCGGCCTTGCGAAAATGTTACGTCGTCCAAATAAAATTGGAATGTATGTTGACAGAAAACATTTTAGGTAAGCATCAATGAAAAATCAAGTGTAACTGATTTTAAGTTAATATTGTTATTGGTACTTACATTGGAAGAAAATGGACAGGTTAAAATATTTTTGCTTAACGTGTAAGAGCTAGAAAAAGCTTATCATTTAAACATATTTAAATTATTTGATTAGTCAATGAATATTTTATAGACTAATGGTGTTTTAAACATGATGTTTTGTTATACTTGTTTAGTGTTGCCACTTATGATTCACACCGCATGTCTTGATCATGAACCACAGTGTGGCTGAAACTTTATATTTTTTTATAACTTGTGTGGAATATGTCCCGTATCTTAATAATACATATATACTATATATATGTAACAGATATATAAATAAATTTTTGTTTGTATAATGTTTAATTTTTTTCTGTTGCTGAAGCGATATAAATGGATAATGTCTTCATCATGCCTACTTCCATCCACCTCACATATCCCATCTTCTTATTGTAATATATTATGTAACATATTGTTGATTACCAAATAAAATACAAAAAAAAAATTCTTTTGTTGGAGCTTACAAATTAACTTTTTAAAAAAAAGTATTACATTGGCATAATTAGTTTCCCATTTCATCCTCAATGTTCTTTAATTTTGTATGAAAACAACCAACAAAAAATTAAAAACTTTCAAAGTTATAAATATATATATATATATATATTCATAAAAACATTAATTTTTATAATAGTATATTACATTTTGACTCTGGCCTTTTCTTCTTTTAATTTAAGTTTAAAACATTTAGCTTCCATTTCTTCAAAATGTTCTGCAAATATCATCTTAAGAGCAGGGTACATTAACGGCAATTTATGTAATACACTTGGTGTTATCTGTGAAAATCCATTTTTTTTAATTAAATATAATAGAATATATAATAAAAAGTATATATAGACATCAGAAAAGATAAAAAAAACATCCAAGCCACTAAGTGGAACCATGACCTTTTACTATGTGAACGATTGCTTTTTTACAGAGTTATCATTATTTTCTAAACTCCTTAATTAGTTACCATCACTAATAAATTATATTATAAATATTATATATTATATATAAAAAGTTATATTAATATAAATATTTAAAATAAAATAATTATATAAAACTTTGTTAGTGAACAGGTTATACTCCAGATTTTAATTTGCTTATTTTTATGAATTAGTCAATAAAATTTTACATTATTATATTACAGTATAGAAATTATATAATATGTATATACAGAATAAACATTGTTTTGTTATGCAACCTAACAAATTATGGTTTATCAATATGTAAGTAAATTGCTATAGGTATAGCTAACATAAATTTAGGAAAATTACCAAAATAACCATTGATCATCCTAAGATTGTTAATTATTGAAAATTGTTTGCAATAATTTCCTTACACTCTATGAAACATAATTTAGTGCAATAGTTATTTTATAATAAAGTATATTGGGTTAAATTTTACATCAATTATGAAGAAATGTTTTTAGTAAATCTTCAATTAATAAGAGGTTTGAAAAATGGTTTGTTATGTGTATGTCATATGAAATTGTTAGGTACTGATTAAAGTTGTTATCTTATATAAATTATAATTTAAATTGTTAGCTCCGTATCTGTCGATAAATTTAATCTTAAATTGTTATCGTCATCAGAGAACTATTGCTATAGGAACATCAAGAAAACAGTATATATAAAACTCTTATATTCTGTTATTTAACTGAATTCCATCAAGATAGAATACAATAAATGTTTACAATACCTCCATATTATCAAATGCTATTCCAACATTACTAGGAAGATCATTATTTGGCATGTATGGTATTTTTGCATAGCGTTGACTAAAATGAGTTAAAATAGTAAATTTAGCATTCATCTTTTTTCCAATGTTAATTGCTTGCGACATAGTTGAATGCATTTTACGTCTAGCTTCAGACACTAATTGATCTTCCATTGTCGCTTCATGAATAAGAAGATTACTATTCTTTCCTACAAATAACAAAAACAATATTAATAAACTTTCATTAATTAAAAATTAATATACAAACCTAATTTTACTAATGAATCGCAAGGCATTGTATCACCAGAATATGTTACTTTCCAACCATTTGTATGAGTAAATGATACACCAAATGCATTAGGACAGTGTTTTACTAATGTAGTTTCTATGTCTGACATATTGGTTTGTTTTAGTAAATCTTTATTTCTAATTTTCGTAGAAGATTCAAAGTCCTTAAAAATTATCCATGTTGATTATTATTGAAACAAATTATAATAATATTTTTTTTTAACAATGATCAAAATGTTATAATTACCAAATCTAAGTTAGACACAATTTGAAATTCTTCATTTAGTTCTGTAAATCTTCGGTGATAAAAATTTAACCAAGTCATAATTTGTATGGGTGCTAGTAAATAAATTGGTTGATCCTGTTTGAGCAAACCATTTTTTCGCATTCTTTGACGTACACTTAAAATACCAATCAAACCAATATGATGATCTGCATGTAAATGAGAAACATAAATGGCTTTTAAGTCATTTAAGACTTTTTCAGCACCCAATACATTAAAATGCCGTACTAATTGTCCGTATGTTCCTTCTCCAACGTCTAATAATATACATTCGTTCTCACTAGATGAAATTAAAATTATATATTTTTACAAATAATATGAAAAACAATTTCTTACCCAGTACACATTAATATACCACTAGTATTTCTTGTTTTACTTGGTATACATGATCCAGTACCCAGAAATGTAATTTTAGGGTATATATTACTATCTGAAGAAGTAGCATTTACAATTTCTTCTTTCACTTGAGCCAATTTTTCTTTGAAACCATCAACCCTAAATGTTTCTGCAATAAACTCATCAATATCTAAGCTTAATGTACTTGTTCTGGAAATTATTCAACAATTGGATGTAATACTTGGTAATAAACAAAAATATTATTGTTGTTTATGGCATACCTGTCAATATCTTTTTTTGGCCTTAAGTTAAATGTTAAATTTGTTTCTCCATTTATCAACAGTGAATTAATATTTGTATTATCATCTTTAAATATTACTTCTTTATCATTTTTAAGAACTATATACAAATGTATGCAATTAATAGTTATTCTTATAAAATTTTAAATATAATAATATTTAAACATAAGTACACTAAATTAAATTATAACTAAATAACTAAAAATAAAATTAGCAATAATAGTATTAAGTATATGAATTTAAATTATTAATGTATTCTTACAAGGAATTCCTGTATCTTTTAATAACGGATAAATATCTTCATCCAACATATTTAGTTTATATTGTATTCTGTGTATTGCAGTACTACCTAGGCATTTGTTTTCATTGTTTAATAATAAATGATAAGTTTCAGGAGGAAATAATTTCATCCATGATTGATATCTAAAAAAATAAAATTTATTATTTATTTCATATTTTAATAAAATAATGGGATACAAAATGAAAACTATGTTAATTAATTTTTTTATTTAACATCTTATAATACCTAGGATCATTTCGTACTTCTTGAGGAGTGAAATGAACAACCATAAATGCAATATCATCTTTATTAATTACATTTTGTTGGTGTTTTGAAAAAATTGACTCATTCAACAATGAGTCAATATAATCTTCACTTGGACATTCAACCACTAAAACAAATTAAATTATATTTTAAATAAATTCATCAAATTTAATGATAATATAAATTAAAATATTTATATTAATAGGCTTTTAATAATTATTATAATTAGATTTAAAATATTAATAATAAAAATAATTTTGTATCATATATAAAATAAATATAAAAAATAATTTATGTCTTACCAATAAAAACTGGCCCTGGATCATCAGGTGATGTTACATCACTTGATCTTACTATTGTCCCATCTAGTAAAGTTATATCTTTACCAGATTTTAGTTGACCTAATAATGGCCCTGGAGGAACATTATGTTTAACACATTTATCCAAATCTAGTAATCCTGGCTTTGGTTTGAGACGACATACATATGACATGGCAACATTATTAACTTTATTCAAAGAATTATCAGTAATAAATTTCTTTTCATCTAAAGACAATGGAAAGTAAGGGAATTTCATAATGAAATTAGTTATATAACAACAACGGTATATAGCTAACCAGTTCTAGGTTCAGAATTGCTTCTTTTACGTTTATTTTTTTCTTTTATATTACATTCAGATATATTTTCATAGTCATAATAGTTTGTATCATCATCTTCTGATAAAATGTCCATGTTTTGTTGAGTTTGTGACATATTAGTAACAATTGAGCTACAAATAAACAACAAATTTACTTAATTATAATGTTTTTAGTTATTAATATATATATATATTACTTTTCAGACATTGATCGACATTCATTACTACGTTTATTCGATATCAATGGCACATAGTAGACAATTATGGCGTTGTCTTCAAATGGTTTAAAAGGATCACTTTTACTGGCCGTAATCTTAAGATCACGTAATACTACAAACCGTTTTGTAGCAATAAATAATTCTTCCTAAAAAAAAAATAAATTTCAATCATCATACTTACATTTAAATATATGAATCTTGATAACTTTTAAATTTAAGCAGAAAAATGTAATTCTTAAAAGGGATAGTTATTATGATAACTGAATAGATTAAAAGAGTATTTTTAATATCTCAAAACTAAACTATGATATTTATTTTAAATTAATATAGAAAGCAAATTAAAAATAACCTTTTAAGGAAAAAATTTAATCCAAATTATTGCTTTAAGAAAATAATTATTATAATCTAAATAGTATAAACAAAAGCTTACTATTCCTTGAGGTCCATGCAGTTCGATTTTTGGTACACCAACATCCTGAACTGTTAATGCTAATCCTGGTAAACCACCAATATTTAACCAATTTGAATGTGTGATAAACACATGTTCTAATTTAGATAGTTTCATTTTGTGCTCGTGAGCCAACCTTTGTGTCCCTTCTCCACAATTAAAAAGATATCTAAGATAAAAATATATTACTAAGTTAAATATTAAAAATGTATAGCAGTGATTTTTAACCTTTAGTAGCATTAACTCATGTAAAAATTATCTTTGAAATCACGTAGTTGGGAACTTATGAGCAAACAAATATAATTTAACTAATTCATGTTTTTTATCTTATGTTTTAATAAAATTCGGCCATAATGTTTGTGTTTATGGTCAAGAATATCAAGGGCTATACGTTGTAGTATAAATTGCTGATGGAGCCTTTGATTAATATTATTATATATTAAATAACAAAGGACGTTACCTTGAATGATCAGTAAACAAGTATAAGCATCTTGGAGCGCCATTAGCCCCACTACCAAGAACTTGAAATTTCACAATACCCGGAGGAAATTTTGATTTTCCTTTCATTTTTGTTCGGTTTTGTTTACCTAATGTTGCTGATTGTGATACGTTTTTTGACATTTTCCTTAGTAATGTAACTTTAGCGTTGAAATAAAATAACTGGCAACCACAATCAACGAATTTGAAAAATAATCTATGATACAACTTAGACGTCATGAATCACAAAATTAAATTTTTAATTAAAATGCACGACAAAATTTACACACGTTTCCAACGCCACTAGCTAGCCAAGAGACGAGCTTATCATTTTATCAAATTGGGGCGTGTGTAGCACGTGATGAGTGATAAGTCTTAACTGATAAAAAAATGGAATACGTTCAGTCTGGTGATGGGCACTACCAACTAGTTTTGACTATCGATAGTTTTAGAAAACAATCGAGTCGTTCGAATCTATGAAATATTATTTTATACATGATACATTTTAGAAAATTGTCGAGAATTATTTTATGCATGAATAGATAGTTCTATCGAGTTTTTGATTGCATGTGTATTGAATAGATATTTGGTGAAAAATGGATTAAGCCATTCAATAGTTTTCAAATATATAGATAGTTACTAAATAAAACAATAAAATTAGCACTTAAAATGATTAATTCAAAAGACAATCTTAGTTCAATTTTGTTCCAGAAAATATGTTGAATTTTAAATTCAGACCAATATAAAAAATCTAGTGGACAGAAAAGGAACACTATATTACGAGTATATATATAAGTATATATATTATATAGTATATAAATTTTCTTCCTCCACTAGTAATAAAAAAAATTGTATGTAGTAATGATTAATAAAAAATATTAATAAGAACAGTGATCTGCAGAGTTAAAATTCAAGCCAGTTGAATATTGTTTAAGGTAAAATAACAAAAAAGTATTTAAAACATCGAAACTTTTAGTAAATTACTAGACCTATTAAAAAATAAGCATTAAAACAGGGATTATTCTAAGGATTTTTATCAACTATGCATTTTGTTTAAATAAGCCTATCAAAATAGAACTATGATCTCAAAACATACCGTTAAAAATATATAGTTAAAAATGATAAAATGTGTAACTTCTATGTGAAGTAATTTAAAATGTAATGTATTTAAAAGATATAAAACAATTTACATTCGTGTTCAAATTATTTTTTTTTTAATATTTTTAAATAAATTTCCTTTTTTCTTTGTTTATAAATCATAATGTAGTGTATAAAATAACACAAAACAACATTGAATTAAAAATCAATGACGCAAAAGTTTATTATCAAGTGCATATCTACCTTTTCCAAATATGCAAAATAAGCCCAACTGCACTTTAGAATAAGCCCTGCATTCAAAACTATCAAATGTCAACGGTTTTTATACTTAGTATTACTTAGATACAACGATAACGGTTGATTATTTCGAATCAATAGTCGATTGTTTAGATAGTTTAAAACAATCGACTTAATCGGTTATACAACCAAGTGAATAAGATAGTTTAAACTACCGAATAGTTCGATAGTTTTCACTCGGTAGTGCCCATCACTAGTTCGGTCATATAATATATTCTATGGTTCGATGGACGTTATTGTTGTCTACAAAATTTAAAAATTTTATTTCACTCCCTCGTTGTCGGAATAATTAGGTATATACAAAGTCGAAATAGAAGCTATGTATTTGTTTTATATAAGTTATAAGGGCTGGGCCAAGTACCCGAAACGCTCTTGGAAAAATTAAAATGTTGTGCCTCCATCTCGAATTTCGGAATAATATTTCATGTATTATATTACATATATAATATTTATATATATATAACCTTTTTGTAGCTTCTATTCGAAAAATTGTTACCGTTTTATTGGTTTAACAATAATTTGAAATTTGACTTAAATTTGCTTTTTTTGCGTTATTTGAAATATTATACTTGGACATACTTAACTTCAAGCATTTTACACTGAAATTTGATTTTTATTTTACTGAAATACGTTCAATTACCAAAAATATTTTTAACTGCAGGATACATTTTTATACAGATTTTATGCATCAGTATAAAAACTAATTTATAACTTTTATTGTAGTTGCTTAGGTGATTGTTTTCGCTTAGGTGTAATACACGTGTAATCTTTCAACCTTAATGTAGTTGTAGACGCAGGAAAACATTTTTGTGTAAGGGAGGATTTTAGAAAAATTTAAAATGTTCATGTAGTACCATGCACGTGCATTTACAAAGTAAAGATTACTTATCAGCTATTTTTCCTGATGTATTTACAGCTACAATAATATTTATAACTATACTAGTCGTTTTTGCTTCTGCCTAGCAGTCATTTTCAAAATTAAAACTAATAAACAACCATCTTTGTAGTACACATGGGCATATTTTAGGGGGGCGAAGAGGGCGATCGCCTCCGCTGAATCCGTATTTAAGGAATCGATCATATGTAAAATACACATTTCAAATTTGTTTAATGTGGGTCATTTTATAAGGATACTTAGTGAAAAATCAAATAAAACAAAAGCGTAACTTTCAAAATACAGACAGGTGTTAAAAAATAACTACACAAAAGTCGATCCTAAGTGAATCCGGCTTTAGATTAAAAAAAAAAAACCACAAATATTAAGGATTCACTTGATTTTAATATTACCAAAAATATTATTTGTAAATTTTGAGCTTGAATTAAAGAAATAATTTGAGTCCCCCTAGAAGTAAGTTAAAATACGCTTATGGTAGTACAATATCATAATATGGATTATCAAGCTTAGTTATATTAAATATTGAAAGGCTAAAGACTGCTGTAATAGACGTAGCAAGTACAATCAGTGATGTACATACGGGGAGAAGGAGTTCCGGGTTCAAACCTCCCCCAGGGCCAAAAAAAAAGAAGAAAATTGTGATATTATTGATGACGTGTAATATATTCTTAGTTTCATTATTACGTTTTGAACTTAAAATATGCAACTGTACAAATATTATGATAATTAAATAATTATATTGATAGGTGTTTGAAAAGTTATGTTAACTATGCTGTTTTTATATTCCAATAGCTATTAATTTACTGTAATGTAAAAGTAAACTGTAAATTGGTAAAAAGTTGTATAAAATAATATCTGTTTATAGCAATTATTTATCTTATTTATCTATGCAACGAAAAAAAAAAGATAACGATTATTTTTGTTAACCCCTCCCCCCCAGAGCAAGATTGAATGTACGCCACTAAGTACAATAAATATTTTTGCAGGCGGTAAAGAAAGAAAAAATAATTTTTTACATTAAAACATATATATTCTTAAATTTAGCTATGCATGGTAGGTAATTTTGAATATTATATTTTTAAAAGTTATTTTTGATTAAATAATTGTGTATTTTTAATAATTATAATATTTTATAGTAAAATCATATTTTTTTTTAATCAGACAGGGAGATAATAGTACTAGTATATTATAAAAAAAAAGTATTTATTTAAATAATTAATATTGAGTAGGTATATTATAACATAGCATAAGTATTTCATAAATATGTAATGTAAAATACACAAAAATTGGCGAGTCCATGATACCTAATTGGAGGAAAATGTTTATGAATACAAAAATTGTTGTATAATTTTATAAATAGTTAGATATATAGTTATATGTAGTCGTATGTATATATGTATAATATATTGAATTAACAGAAGAAAAACGAGTTTAAAAACCTAAAAATTTTGGTATGTGTATAAAAATGAATTTAGGAAAAGGCCTAATATAATAACTGCATACGGGACTGTATACATCTAAAGATATAAATAATTTCATATTTTACAATGTTTAGGAATCCAGACACACAAGTATTGATATTTAACCTATAACAATGTTTTTAATTCATCAACACATGATATACGTCCTATTTTTATTTTCATTTTCTTAATTACAGTTGTATTAATAAAAACAAAAACGAAAAAAAAAAACACAAGAACCATGTGCCAGACATAATATCTTTCCCCTAGCTGTGTGTTTTAATCTCCAACAGTCCAGCATCATAATATTGGTAATGAGTACGTACGAGTGTCGAGTTTATGACACGTGTTACAAAATGTATAGAATAAAAAAATTGAGTGTTTTATTAAATATTGAAATAATGTTTAAGTTATAAAATGTATTGATTGTATGTTTAAATTTTAATGCATAGGTAATGTAGTATTATATATGTTATGTATAACCACTGATTATAGAATAATTTATTCTTACATTAATTTTTTTATTCTATTATTAATGATATATACACAGTATTTAGACTAATAATTTAATTTAGCTGTATCTGACTTAGTAACTCGTACGAAACGTTGAACTTAATAGATTATTTTTGGACATCAATTCAACATTAAGTACCCAACAGCATTGCTCATAAAAAAAAAAAAAAAAATAATAATAATAATAATAAAAAGCATTTGCGAAAATTAAATAAAAATACAGTTCTAATAAATGTGCAATACATTTATAATCAAATTGTATAATTGTAAAAGTTTGAGTCCAATTATCATAATTGTTATTATTCGAACTGGTTCATAGTCCAGAGAGACTAATCAATACGATTCATAATGTCACTACTACACTTGACTAATGTATCAGAGAACAAGTATCACAACTGTGCCATTTGTGATAAGTAAGATAATAATAATTGTATTAAATTAAATTTATACATTATTGTGTTTGTAAATGAGATACACAAAAAAAAGTAATTACATAATGACAAATATCAATGACAATTAAACAATTGATCCTTTTTTTTATTATTATGTATTAATTATAATATTTTAGTATTCAATATTCTTTACCATTAAAATAAATATCATTAAGTTGCTTATTCAATTTTAGAAGTCCTATATATACTATATTTTAAAATTATTTATTAATATAATTACAGATAGTTGTGTTCATAAAAAAATGTATATGATTATTACTAATTTTATTCTTATTAGTTATTGGTCTTACTTAAACAATTAAATGTATTAAACGACAATATGTTCACCATTCATTTTTTCATACGTTATATTCAACTATTATATATTGTAATATTCATATTTTGATTAGTAATTTTTTTTATAAAAGTAATCCTTTCAAAAAAACAATAATTTACTAAGATAAGATATTATGTAAGTCCAAATATCAATTTTCTGTAACGAGATTGTTTTAGACTATTTGAAGGATAATCAGACACCATCTAAAATTGATTTGTGAAACGCACCAATACATTTAAATACTTATAATATAATAAATAAATAAATCTAAACATAATTATTATAAACAAATAATTGGATAA